ATAAAGTTAAGGTAAAAAAAAACAACTTTACACTGTATACTTACGTACCATATGGTGTAGCTGTATAAGGCTGAGGAGGGATGTGTGTGTGTTTCATGGGAAGGTGAGATGGCTTTTTAATATTGAGTGATTCATCTTGTAGCATGCTGATGATCTTTGGCCAGATGGTGACATGAGGCCCCTCAGTTTGCTCCAGCCAAGACCTGGGTTATATTTATTTAGTTTCTATTTAGTTGAAAAGGAGCCATGCGGCTGAGCAGTGTAAAGGCCATGTGTTGTGTTTCTCTTTTCACTGCTGAATGAGGAATGATTGAGTTCGGCAATGGGGCCCAATTTTAGGCCGCTTGGGCACACTGACGCAGCTGGACTGAGTCTGTGCAGACCATGTTTTTAGTCCTTTGTGGTGCTGATAGAACCTCAGCATTTAGGGCTGTAAGGGTGAACACACCAGCTAGAGATGGGTTTAACTAGACGAACCAGACAGATCTGATCTGATACCACTAACCCATCTATGGAGTCATCATACAGTTGGACCCGGAGATCTCTAGAGCTCTGTGGAGGTTTCTTGAGGTTGTCAAAGGTTTCCAGACTTGTATTGAGTTTTCTCTAGGCGTACTGAGGTTTCTAAAGGTTTCAAGATCTGTCAGACCTTTCTGAAAGTCATTGGAGTTGAAAGTTAAGGTTTCTTAAGGTTTAAAAGGTTTCTGGACTGAAGTTTGTGATCTTTATGGTAGCCATTGGGGTTCAAAATTTTGCTGGATTCTGGGTTTTCAATAAGGTCTCTAGATTTACAGAGGCTTTAAGAAATTTCTGAAGGTCTCTGATGTATGTCAGAGCTTTAATTGAAGGAAAGGTTAGATATTTTGGGAGATACAGTTTCAGTTTAAGGAGGTTTTTTTAGTGGGTCCTTCTGGTGGTCTCTAGGGGTTTTCAGATTTTTCTGGGGTCTCTCGGTCTCTCTGGAGATCTCTGGAGGTTTCTGGAGGCCGCAGGGTCTGGCTGCTGCTGTCGGCTCCTTATGGTGTCAGAAGCTTGGCGTTTTGAAGGTGCTAATTAGTTTTTACAGCACGGCTTCCAGCTGGAGCCTGCTGCAGAAAAATAACATAATTACATTTCCACACCAGATTAAAGGTGATGGTTTGCAGGCAGAACATTTGGCAGTGCTGAGACAAGCCCAATAGAAAGCTGAAACATTACCTAAACTTAGAGAGAGGCCAAATGGAAAGTTTAAATGTTACCTCAGTGTAGGGACAGAGTGTAACTATATGAACACTTATGTTTTTATGCAGGTTTTCAAGTCTCATAAATTAGGACAGATAGACCGAACTCTCTCTCTCTCTCTCTCTCTCTCTCTCTCTCTCGCTCTCGCTCTCTTGGTCTCTCTCTCTCTCTCTCCCTCTCTCTCTCTCTCTCTCTCTCTCTCTCTCTCTCTCTCTCTCTCACACACACACACACACAATGCCCCTCCCATGGTTTTTATCCCTCCCACTGTCTCTCTCTTTCACACTCATTCTATGTCTCTCTCCCTTTCATATTCCGTCCCCCTCTCTCTCTCTCTCTCTCTCTCTCTCTCTCTCTCTCTTGGTCTCTCTCTGTCTCTCTCCCCTTCTCTTTCCCAACCCACATTCTCTGACATCACATCATAATTACCCAATCAGAGGCAGGCCAATCCGTCACTGTCAAAATGCTGGCCAATGGCCACCGTATGGTAATTGTCTGCAGCCAGTGGCAGTGTGAGAGGCTCTGTGAGTGTGGTATATATACCAGGAACAGCAGTGCGTCAGGCACATACACACATCAGGACAGTGAAGAGGAATTTCTGATAGGAGAAGTTACTGTCAACAGAAACTCTGGATGGATGATGTCAGAGTCCCACCTGAGATGACTGACATGGGGAAGGCAAGGTGAGACGAAGATGATGTAGAGGAACAAAAAGAGAGAAAGTTCATCAAACCAGTTCCCTCTCTGTGCTGTGGCAATGACTCCTTAATGAGACATCTTCACCACATGATCCCCTAATCCCCCAAACTCTCTCTCTCTCTCACACACACACACACACTCCTCCGTAATCAACTGCCAAGTCAAACAGGGTGAGTCATTTAAAACATGACACATCAGCTGACCTAAAAATAAAAAGAGTCTGTAACAGGCACCCGCTCTGCTGAAAACCAAACCATCTGATGATGATGATGATGATGATGATGATGATGATGATGATGATGATGATGATGATGATAATTTCTGTTGAATTCAGCACCAACTCAAAAGCCAATCATTACTTACTTAATTACATATTTTCCAACACTCTGTGTTTCTGCAGGACTCTGTCGTTCATCTCAGTCTTAGACTGTAACAAAACCTGCTCTGTAGAAGAGGACAGCTTAATTAGACCTGACAAAACCAGATGGTTTTCAGACCAATGTAGAGTCTGCCATAATATTTTATCACTTGACAATATTGAATCGCAGTTAATGTGGCTTCTCTGACAAAGATCAACAGAAAAAGACTTCAGCGTCGTCATCACAGGTGCTGCTAATTGGTTTCAGAAGACACACAATTAGTTAAATGGAAATCACCTGTGTGTAGCCAAGACATTTCAGGTGACTGTAGAATAAATACACCGGTATCTGGAGTATAAATGCGGCTGTTTCTGTAGTATCAGTACACCTGTTTCTGGAGTGTAAGTACACCTGTACCTGAAGTATAAATACACATGAATCTGGAGTATAAATACACCTGTGTCTGTAGTATCAGTACACCCTTTATCTGTAGAATAAATCCAGCTGAAATTGTTTGTGAGAACACTGTGAGACCTGTGACCTAAGTTGGAGTTCAGAACTTCAGGCTCAGATTCAAGAGACAACAGCAGCCCACCAGATGTTTCAGCAGTCACAGCTTTATGGGAGGGTGACAAAGAATGAGAGAATGAGAGAAATCTCACATGACATTTCAGCTGCAGTTTACCAGAAGACATGTGGAACTCATGTCTGAAGTCAGCTGGAAGAAGCTTCTGGTCTGCATCAGACACTAAACATCTTGTCATACTGCACATCACAAACAAAAGCAGCAAGCCACCAGCATGATGCCTGAAGGCTGATGAGGGTAGAGAGTTAAAAAAAACTTTTCCTGAGAATTCCTGAAATTTTCTTCTCCCAAAAACTGGTGAACACTTCAAAGCCACCCAGTCCTGAAGACATATTATCTTAACTATTTTATACAGTATAAATGTCAAATAGACTTAAAAGGTACACTTTGATTGTGCTGTGGTACAGCCTGCTGTGACCAGTGATCAGTATTCACACAATAAGCTGAATATTGCGTTATCCTTGTTACTTTTAAGCATGACCCTAACCAGCTGTGTGTTTATCATTGTAACCGTGACGACAAAGGTCATAACCTTAAGGATGTACTTATTCTAAATCAATATTACAATAGTGTCCAAACCTGACCAAACAGTGACCATTCCAGAAGCTTAACTGCATGTTTATTATTGTAACCATGACGACAAAGGTCTGGTGTGCCTGCTGCTGTAAGGGCACTTCAGGAGATACTTGTATGGGTCGTATCAGAGGACAGGGACAAACAACCCGTATTTCCTACTTACTGCTGAATACAACTGGTGCTGCTAAAAATTTCTTTTTACAACAAAGATTGAAGTCACAGCAGGGAGATAAGAGGCGAAATTCATGTGTCCATTAGCTCATTGTTGATGTTAATAATAATAATAAAAACAGTTAATAATAAATAAACAATAATAATTAGATTAGTCCACCTCCTTTGGCTGAGGTGTTGTATAGCCTGATGGCAGTGGGAACAAAGGATCCTCTGATCCTCTCTGTTCTGCAGCGCAGTGAGATGAGACGTTTGCTGCACCTGTAGCTGCTTCTCTGTCCTGCCGGAATTTTGTGGAGAGGATGGTTGGTATTTTCCAAGATGGCCTCCATCTTACATTGCATGCGTCTCTACACAACAGTCCTGAGTGTGTTCACGTCGGACATGCTGCTGCCCCAGCAGACTGCAGCATGAAAGAGTACACTGGCCACCACTGACTCATAAAACATGTGCAGCATTTCACTGCAGACGTCAAAGGACCTGAGCTAATAACAATAGTATATATTACTATGATATGAATGTTTTGATAATAAATAAACAAACCTTGCGTGTAGCCTGTTTTCTCTGAACTCTGATGTCCTACTTTTTGGTTGTACCTTTAACTCAAACTTAAAAACACTCATGTTTAATCTGATTTCATGTCGAATTGTTCAGGGATCAGTTGTAGAAGAATGAAGCAGCAATGACTGGGAAAAAAACAGAATGACATGAAAACATGTCTTCTGATAGTCCGTCTTGACCACACCCACAGGTCTGAGTTTTCTTTTATCTTTTATCTTTATCTTTAGAGTTGAGGATTTTTCAACAAACAAATTATACTTTTGAGATTGTGACTCAGTTTTTTCACAGTTTTCCAGTACACTTCACGTTTTGCGTAATATTTAATTAAAAACAAACAAACATAAAAATAAATAAAAGAAGAGTCTTTGATACAAGGACAAATATACAGTTTTATTATCAGTCTCACCAATGGTGGACAGAGAAAATGACAGCTTGTTTCAATACCATCCAATGTAAACAAAATAATTAGTTTGTCTTTGGCTTTCTTTCTCTTCTTTTTTTTTTTTTTACAAGTAAAATATTTAATATTTATTAACTCACAAAATACCAATAAAATAGACATTATTCTTTGTAATTCTGGCCACAAAATCCTGCAGAACATTTAATATTCTTTAAGGTCCCTTTCATTATAAAATCAATTGTATGTACAAATATTAATTTACCTTCATGAGGGCATTTTTAATAAAAGTCCTGACAGTGCAACAGTAACATATTGCCTCTTTCACACACTGCTAATATTTGTTTTTTGTCATAAAGTATCATTACATTCATTTACAGTCTTTAAATAAGCTTTACAAAACACATTAATGTCATTAAAGGAGCCTACAAACAGAACAACAGCAACTTTATTAAACTGAGCAGTTCAGTGCACAAATGAGTTTCTTATTTCCCAGATTATCCTCGTTGATTTAAATGTTTAAGTAAAATATATTTTACAAATTGTAACAATTTACAGGACACAGCCGTGTGTATTTTTTGTAAATGTTGGCAACTTTGTTGTTCCAAAATACTTTGGAAATGTAACATTTTGTGGAAAAATAAAACTTCAGGTAACGTGTATAAAACTGTAATTTCCAAATTTCCAAATACAAAACAGCTAAAATAAATCCTGTTTTGAGTGAATAAGCCTGGAAGATCCTGCTCCGCCAAAATATAAAGCAATAAAACACTGGTCACTACTATTTTAGTGTTTGATAACCGTCCAGTTTCATAAAGAAGTACAGGCGGACTCTTGAGTCTTTACTTTTCATTTCTGAGACACTTTTGAATAAAGCGCCTGGTGTCATTTGGCCTGTTGACATCTCTAGTATGGACTAAAATCACTCTCGAACCAGCTAAATTAATCACGTCACACACAATGTAACAAAATGCCATTGCACAGAGAAACAAAACCCTATTTCTGATTGATTCATTGCTATATAAAGCAGGACACTGTCCACCTCACTTGTAATAATCTTCCCTTTAGTCTGTTACTATAAAAAATAGCTTTGGGACTAGAAATATTCTTTCTTGAGAATCCTAAATTTGTCTGGTCTGCGTCATTTCAGTATGGACCATTTGATCTGCTCCTTGGCCGACTGCAGAACCTGGAAACACAAAGAGAGAAAAAATATAAACTTTGTAATATGATATAGCAAAACAGTAAAATACATAAGAACATTATAGAAATGCATAAAACCCAATAAAAAGTATATATAATATAGTAAAATATAAACTGTTGAAGCATTTCCTGAGGAAAATGTGTGTGATTATGTGTGTTTATGCTGATTGGCAACATTTTTAGTTGAATTATCAGATAAAAACTGATGTGATCTTAATGTATTAACGTAGATGCAATAGGCGTGAATGGTTCTTTAAATCAATTCACCATTATGCATAAACTGTACATGTAAATGTCTTTTGTATCATTATATTATAATGAGTTTATTCATAGGTGACCAATATTTGAATTTTGTCCTGCAGGTGATGTATAATAATTATGTGTAATACAATGGGACTGTCAGGTTTTAATGTAATATATAATTTATAATAACTCATTAAATGTACTTATTTCCATAATGAACTCATGTACAATTAATTACAGTAATAAAACCTAATTTGTGGTTTTAAATCATTTAATGCTCAAATCAAGTGAAAGAAAAAATGATATACTGCTACGTGTTTGTTTACTTGCTGTTGTTTTTCCTGCCATTTTCTTGCAGAAGATAAAACATATGTTTGGAGTCAGTGCAGTGATTTCTGTGAGGTAAACCCAGAGTAGGGCAGACTTGTAAAGTATTGCAGTACCATGGTTCAACCACTAGATGTCAGAGCAAGACTATGCTCAATGCCATCATGTTGGAGGAGCTCAACATATACAGTATATGAAGTGTAACATTTTCCACCTGTTGTTACATTACAAACAAAGAAAATGTTTTGATTCCATCACACAATAAATTGATAAAATTATACAATATATCAATTACCTAAAACACAGCTTATATGCTGTAATAAATTATTATTTAAATGCAGCCAGTTTACAACAACAGAGTGTTATTATTATTACTTTATTATTATTACTGCAATACTGGAATCAATTAACTTTACTATTAAGGGTGAATTCTCTGTCAGCAGTCAACTTAGTGTATTTGTATTTATATGAAATGTATATGAAACTGACAGTTACAATAAACATGGACCATACAGAGATATAATGTACTGAAATTTACATTTCGTAGACAATTTTCAGTACTGTCCAGTGACACCTTTGTGTATTGACCAACATTATAATAATATAATGATTACATTTAATTATATTTCATTTACAATTGCAGGAAGGAATACATTTTGTTTGTAAGAGTGTATTAGGGTTAGGGTAAACTTTTAACAGAGAGACAGATAGACGGATAGACAGATAAATAAATAGATAGATAGATAGATAGATAGATAGATAGATAGATAGATAGATAGATAGATAGATAGATAGATAGATAGATAGATAGATAGATACTTTATTTATCTGCTAGGGTAAATTCAGTTTAAAATAACAGCTAGCTAGTCTTAAATTCTTCACAAGTTTCAATAAAGTTTGATCTCATTTTTGGGTAGTTCTCAATCCTTCAATTTAAACCCAGACTTCATTTCAGCTGTAAGGTTGTTGTTCCTCAGTCTGACAGCAGGGGGCACTTGGAGCTCAGTTAATATTCACTGCAGGATGGAATCCTGGGAAATGCAGTCACATAAGGCCTACACTTAATGTGCTGCTCTTGGCTGATTAGTGCCTTTAATTTTATAACAGAGTTATACAGAGTTGTAGTTTTCAGTATTGCTCGTTAGTTTTGGGGACTAGTTTGTTAATCTGATTTTTACAGTACAAACTGTCCAGCATGCAGAACCCTCCATTTAACTCTGTGAGCTTCATATGTAATTTGAAAGTAAACTATTGCTGTCTTGAGAACACAGAGAAGGATAGTTCTACTCCACAACACTTCAACCTGAAATATTGTACTATCTGCACTATCTGACAGCTATAAAGTTACATTACTTTAGATTTAGATTACATACAAAGATACAAAACATATGAAATATGATGCACTGGTAAAATTAAGCACTAAAATGAACTCCAACTACAACAGTACAATGATACATTAATGTTAAAATTCAATATTCTATTATATTCAAATAATATTCAAAATCCAATATATATAGTACTCATAATGCATATATATAGTACTCATAATGCAGAAGAATGGCCCCTGTGATACTATATATATATATATATATATATATAGTGATACTATATATGTATATATATATATATATATATATATATAAGTTATAGTATCACAGGGGCCATTCTTTACTTTTACTTTTGATACTTTAGGTACATTTTCCCAATAAATACTTGGGATAAAAATGATATTTTCAGTGGAGGACTTGTAATAGAATATTAAAGGTAAATATTAACTAAAATATGTGAATACTTTCTCCACCACTAATCAAAAAACATCACTGTAGTGCTGCAGTTGCCAATCATTAACGCCTGCCTCTGCACCCTGTTGTGTTCACTTCATATTTGCAGTTATGTGTGCTAGTTTGTGTAAGGGAACAATTTGTTCCTCTGTACTGTCTGTGGCCCGAGAGCAGGCACCACCTTAAAGACTAAAGAAGGCAAGAAAAAAACTCACCATGAAAGACTGCAACCTTGCTCTGCTAAATGTGTGCTGATACATATCTGTGGCTATTTTTAGGTGGTTATAAGGTCAACCCTCTGCCTATAGGTGAGTATACAGCAGAAAAGTGCATATACAAAACATTTCACATCTGAGACTCTAGCATTATGACATAATATGATACAATAGAATTGATAGACTGCATTGGCCATGTGTGGTGTTTATTCTATAGGTTTAGTTTCTCAACTTTTCACAACCTCCTCTCAAGCTTGGGGTCCTGACCTGCTAACCCATTGTAAATACCATAATACCCTGTACAGTACAGTACAGAAAGGGTTGCTGCATATAGGCGAATACTTTCTATGATTTTTAGCTCTTATTTGTAGTTTTGTGTCATTAGATATAGATACATATTAGATATGGAAGAAATGCAGTTCTGAAGAAATTACCCCCGCAAAAAAAAAAAAAAAACAGTCCAGCTACAGCAGACTGAGATTTGTCGTACAGTGTAGGGTTGCAGTGAAGTTAGTACAGACTTACGTTAGAGGTGAGGGCCAGTTTCTCTGTTATGTGCTGTGAAGGTTAAAGCAACAGATAGAAAAGCTTAGAGCATGAGTACACACACACACACACACACACACACACAACACACACACACACACACACACACACACACACACACACACACACACACACACACACACAGGCCCATGCACATGTTCATTCCTGCACACAAGCAGGAAGACATCAGCAGCAGCAGCTAAGAAAGACATCAGAAAAACATTCAGGTAAATAAATGCACAAGGCAGAAGAGGTCAGAGTGGTCAGTGAAGCAGGTTTGTATCTGTCCAGTACTTAAGAAAGCTACTGTGCTTTAGAGGATGTTAATCCAACAACAATCTGTTTGTTGACCCGTCAATCCCATTCATTCACAGTTGAGCCTCTTAGTGCTGTACGGTGCTTTGGAAATGAAGCCAGGCTAGCTGCTACCTGAACATGCATGGTCAGCTAGAGCGTTAGCATGCAGCCTTGTGAATTAGCAAACAGGTGTTAAACTGCTACTAATTATTCTGCTATACAGTTAGTGTGTTTCTGTAACTCATTAGGATGTGTGAGAGATAGAAATTAAGTATTAATGTTAATAACAGTATAGAAATGAGGTAAACATGCAGCTACAGTGTGAGTATAGGTGTGTATCTGCTACAGGATTTATGTGTAGGTGTTGGCATGCAACCCGCCCATTTTATTCATTCCATTTCTGCTTTTGTCTCTGAACTTCTGGTCTACTTTACCAGCAACAGCAAACGCAGGTCTTGATTCTTGATTCTGAGTTCCTCATGAATGCTGAGGTCATTTTGCCCGACACTAGCACATTGTATTAAAAGACGATCTGTTCAAATGGCCCCAAGTTAGCAGTCTTGGTGCTTATGAGACAAGTGATAATCAGACCTTTATAGTGATGGTGTGGATACAAAGCAGTCAACTCAACAGTTCACTAATTGGTGACTTGTGCAGCTGAGTCTTGATTTCCAAATCCAAATGTAATTTTTCAAGTTGGTACCTTTAACTGACCGTCTCATTTGTGGTGTGCCACAAGGCTAGGTTTCAGTCCTTTACTTATTTCTGTTAAAATACTTCCTCTTGGGGGCATTATTTTCAAATGTGATATTTATTTAATAATGGCAGTCTTCTCATTAATGTTTTAAGAGCTGGATGTCATGCATGTGGTATCCAAAGGTTCTCAAGCTGCTTGGACCACTTGGAGCAATATTAATTTTTAGCCTTTATTTATTCTATTTAATGACTGTATATAATGCATGCATTATATAAATATTATATAACTGCAATCAATAAAAAATAAAGTGTGCCAAAAGTGAAGGGGTCTGAATACTATCTGAAGCTACTGTAAATGTATGTGTGTGCAATTCTGTAAATGTCATTCACTTGTGTGTGTGTGTGTGTGTGTGTGTGTTACCTGGGCCACACTTTGTTCAGATAATGGGTTCTCATCCGCCTGTAAGACACAATAACATCATTGAGTATGCAAGACAAAAATGCTAAAGCGATGCAAAACACACACACACACACACACACACACACACACACACACACACATACACACACACATATGCAGAGCAGTGCAAACACCATCAGATTTGTAGCAAAACACCAGTACATACTGTGAATCACTTATAAGCGTGTTTGTTAACAGCTCAACCAATCACAACTCGTATTAGAATTTAAACCATGCTAGTGGTTCTAGGGTCGACACTGTCAGTTTGTTTGTTCAGAGACTCAAATATCTCAACAACTGTTACATATATTTCCTTTAAATTTCATCATTCGTGGTCCCCAGAGGATAAAACCCAATGACTCTGTTGTCCCCCTGACTTTCCCTCTAGCACCACCAGGTGGTTAAAGTTTTAGCAGCAGCCAGCCCAGTTCTTTACACTCTGTTAGTTACGTTCTCTCACCATGCATTTACCTCATCTGTCTCACCCGTCCCTCCTTGGTCCCTCCACTGTCTCTACCACACTCATTCATTCATTCATTCATTCATTCATTCACTCTTTCGCTCTACCTCGTCTCTGACTCGCTCTCTCTCTCTCTTTCTCTCTCTCACCCTCTGTCTGTCTGTCTACAGCAGCTGGCTCTTGTCTGTCTGTCCCTCTAGGTTACCAGTGATGTAATCAAACAGGACGAAGCCATAGGCTGGCTCTGACATTAGCTGACACCGATCAGATGAAGAGACACAAGGAGAAGGAGAGAGAGAAAGGTAAAGCAGGTAAGAGGAGGCAGGAAGCCATTGAGAAAAGCTGTGGGAAGCTACAATATGAGTCTTAATGTAAATGTAGACAGTTTGAACAGGCCACACAGCTGATCTGATGCTTTAGAACATAATACAATTTTTTGTTTTTTTTATTTGATTTTGCAATGACTGAAGTAAATAAATGATAGTCGTCTTACCCTGTAGCTGACCTTCTGTAGGACCTGCTGTGGGTCACTCTCCAGAATCACCCTGGCAACAGGATTAGGCAACCAATCAGAGTACAGCACAAGCAGGATAAGGGTTATTTTATAGACCAAACCAGCGGTTCCCCAACCTATTCCAACTCATGGTCCACTTGAAAATGTTGGTGGCCCACATCTGATCCCGTGACAATACAGAGGCCAAATAATACATTCTTATAGCACTTTTTATTTCAATAATAACGACTGAACATTCAGAACTGAACTGGAAGCAGTTGAAAGTTGTTTGATGATGATTCACCGTTTGTCTCCTGACTCTTGATTCTTCCTGTTACTAACCAGCTACCAAATTTGGAACTCCAGTTGTTGCCACGGATGTAATCTTTTAGCGCACAATCAGACTGAGATAGCTAACAAGTATAAGAAGCGGAAAGTTACTTCACAGTAACAGGCCTTAATACAAGAAAAAAAACAATGAAAGACGTTTTTCAACATTTTTAATGTTTTCAGACATGTTTAATCATTTCATTTTAAAACATTTAAAACGTTATTATAGTTTTTTTTTTTTCTTTTCTTACATAATTACATCTTTTCACCAAAATGTACTGTTTTGCAAATGATTTGTCGGCCCACTTGTAATACCTTCACGGTCCACAGGTTGGGAACAACTGGACTAAGCAATTCATAAAAAAATTATTAACACATGCCCGATGCTGGAAATACTTCCAAGTTAAAGCCGTAGCTTATATGTTGGCTCGTTTGAACACAGTAAATTGTGTATGTGTTGCAGTTGATATTATAAATAAAAATTGCACATATTGTTCTATACATCTAATCAGCTGTAAACATTATTTTTTTCTCTTACCCTCCATCAATGATTTCATCCACTACCAGGAACACTCCTTCCATATTATCCAGTAAACACCTCCGCTCCACATTTTTCCTGCAAAAAAAACCCCCAAACAAAGCACAACACAACAATTAATCACCTCCGGCCCATAAACCTCTCAGTCCTATCGTTACATTTTCACAGCTAGTTTATTATTCTTCAAAAAATTGCAGTTTCACATGTGTTTATGTTTACTTAAAAGAGCAGTTTTGAGATTTTGGGCAATGTGGATATTCACTCTGCTGAGTTGAGAAGATTGACGATCTCATCATGTCTGAGCTATAGTATAGACCTGGAGTTAGGAGTTAGCCTAGCTTAGCATAAAGACGAGAAATAGGGGGAAACAACCAGCCTGGCTAATTCCTAAGTTCAAAGATATGCTTACACCTTTAAGAATCACTGGTCAACAACTTGTATTCATTTGTTTTAAGGATATAAAAATGACAATGAGTCTGTGGATGGTTGTCTAGTTCTCAGAGGACAATAGTTTATCCTGCCACTTCTGTGCAATGTCTCTGCTGGCAACCTCACCATGATGACAAGCAGTGACTAGAGGTCACCAAGGAACCCCTCCAGCACGGAGCTTCCCATAAAACCACAAATCATCGTTCCTAAATTTCTTTGCATGTGTTACTCTAAATAAATGCTAATGGTGAACGTCCCCTATGTGAACTAATTCATTTTAATCAGTATGAACTTTGCGCTAGCTCTTGTGAAGTGTGAACTTACACAGCACACACCAATCGTCCAATCAAAAAAAAGTCATGACTGAAGGTACTCATATCTGTAACATTTGCCGAGGAGACACAAAATCAACAAAAGACAACAACAAAATCACCTGGAGTCACATTTCTCCTGTGTTGGTAGAAGCTACTGCCTGCCCAGACCAATCTGCCCACTGTCTTCAGTGGTCACAAACCAATATCAATCCTCCAATCAAACGTCAATCAAACACCCCACATGTCAAAGTAATGGAGCATTACTGGGATGAGTAACTGTAATGTAATTACTGAATTTCAAATTGTAATCCCTCAAATAACTAGTTACTGAGAAAAAAAAAAAATCAGAGATTAGATTAGATTAGATTCAAATTTCAGGTCTAATTTTCAGGACACGACATGATGTGTTTCCTAAGGGTTTTTAAAGAATACTTTGTGGTAACTCACGGGCAAACGTTTAATATTCCAGTTTAAAATAAAATGAGGAGACTGTTCAGCAGCTTCCCTGAATTTATTCTGTCACACTAACATCTGGACATTTCCATACCGCACAAGGCAACTTAGAACAGTCTGTAATCTTTCATACTGAATAATAATATAATCTCTCAGTGTCTCTATCGCTCACACTCTGCATTACTACTGCATCGGTTTCCATGGCAACCACATCAGCCGCTGTTTGGCCGTTAATGTTGCAGTCAACAGCGAGGGATCCTGGTGTTGAATTTTACATCAGTTTCAACATGGAGACTCATTATCTCTCTGAGAGGCTCCGGTAGAGGAGCGTTAGTGTGGAGGAGTGTGTGGATTACCATTAGCACTGATGGTGCTGAGGCTGAACGACAAAAGCTCTAACATCACAATGACGTGCGTGCATGGAGGGGTACTGTTTCTGTTTCAGTGCTATTCATTTAAAAGCATTGTTCCTGTCTGTCTTGTTTTTTTTTTCCTTTTTCCTGTATTTTTAGATGCATCATATCATTAATGTATTATTTAATTCATTCATGCTTTCACCCATGTAACTTTTTTAAGGTTTGGTGAGTGAACGTACCTGAGGATCTGACTGAGGGAGTCAAATAGGCAGTTCAGTACCGACATGAGCATCAGCTAGAGAGAGAAAAAAATAAAACAAAAAAACACATATGAAATACCTACAGTAAAAATTCTACATGTACATATATTTAAAACATTTTATTAAAAGTTTATTGTAGTTTGTAAAGAATGTCCATATTACTCTATAACAACAGGTTAGTACACATAGAGAGAGATTAGAATTAAAGAGAAACTCCGGGGCAGTTCTCCTGGGGGAAGAACCAGCAGCTCTTCTGGCAGCTAAATATGTCTCTGTTGTTTATCAAACTGTATAACTGTTTTCTATTTGATTGAATTATATGGAAATCAAACAATGGACTGCATTAGTATATGGCACATATTTAATAATGAATGTGTTTTAATCATCTGTAAACTGCTTTGGCAACAACATGTTTTTGCTCATGCCAGTAAACCTATTTCACTGCATCTTTGTATAATAAAATTCTGTGGATCTGTGCTCATTAGCATATTTGAATTTCTGATGAAACCAGAGCAGAAAATGAAGCTATACAACATTATCCTGCTGAATAAACTCAGACGAGCTTCCTGTTGTCTTCTGCCTACTGCTTACTGGGCTTACTGGGAGCTGTACTGGAAATCCTGCTGCTCTGCGCCTCCTCTCTGAGGTCTGCAGAGTTACTGCTGCTAGATGCACAACTATTTGAGGCAATTTGGATTTTCTATATTTTCACTACTTTTCTCTGAGCTTTTCAGCCAGATCATTTTTTATTTTTTATTTTTTACTGAGTCATTCATATAAAACGAGTCATCAACAGTCGACTGCTTCTTCAGTCTTTAAACCGTGATAAAGATATAAACACATCAACGGTAAGCGTGTGGGCGGAGCTGTGCAACCAAACAGAACGTAGTTAGCTGGAGAGGAGGAGGAGGCAGACATGAGGGAGATGGTGGACACATAGAACCAGAGTGGGCTGCACAGTCTGCACCTCCCTACACTGTGATCAGTGGTCTGTGATCATAACTGCACAAAAAGAACAATCACACTTAATGGATGGTGAAAAGGCAACAGGATGAACAGATGAAAGACGCACAAGGCCTAACATCTGCCATCACCATATTTTCATGTGTATATCATTAACAGGATATCAATATTTAACTTTTTAATATCATGGTTGTCATCAATACCAGTGTACACCTGGACACCCCTACTCTCCTCCTTGCCAAAGGTTTACTGAGCAAACCTCTGACAGCTCTAGAGGGCGCTACTCTGTAGATGAATATGAAATACGACCTCCCTGCAAGATGTGAGAGAGTGGATGGAAAAAAACACACTGTTTTGTCAGGGGAGATAAATTCAACTTACCTCGTTCTCCTGAGCGCTTCCCACCACATAGAAGAAGAGGTCTATACTGCCCTTATAGACGATAGTCATCCCCTCCAGGAAAGCTATCTCATCTGGAGAGAGAGGGGGAGAGGGCCAGGTTAGGGATGAAAGGTAAAGTCAGTGTCATACATTCAACATTCCGCATTATTGGAGGGTCCATGTACATCCGTGTACCCACCAATTTGTTATGTTAGCTCACTAAATTACAAGGGTATCAACTGGGCACGAGCTGGAAGAACACAAAGACAACCGAGTGTGTTGTGATTCATGGAGGGAAATTTCACAGATTTTGGGAAAAGAGTATACATGAAGTATCTATGCATGTGCAGACTACGTAAACGACGATCTGCTGCACATGTATGCAACGCATCCTCCAAGTGGAGTATACATGAAAAACTTCTTGTCTGTGTGTGCCTGCAGTGGGTATGACCGAGGACGAAGACAGACAAACTTCTGTTTTATTAAAGATATAAGTGAGAAGAAAGAAAAGTGAAAATGAGATGAAAGAAAAGAAGTTTTAGAGTAATGAAGGAGAAGGAGGGACACAGGGATGGGTGCTAGAAACAGGGAGTGAAGAAATGCATTAAGTAACAGAAAAGCAGGACAAAGGGAGAATGAGGTGGGAGGGGGGGGGGGTCTAGCATGACAAGTGCAGAAGAAAGAGGAGAAAAGGAGGAATGAAGGAGGAGTTCTGGACAAAGGGAGGAATACACTGAGTGGGTGATAAAGAGGCCGGGGGTAGGGGCTCAGGTGACAGCTGTGTGACTCTCCCACTTCCCCTGAAAATGAAACTTATTCTGCAGCACCACAAAAAACATCAGAGGGTGTTCGGTTTCTCCGAGCAGCCTAATCAATGCACTTTTGGTTTAAAAGTTACATTGATAAAAGTTGTAAAGTTATGACAGAAAAGTCACTATTTCTATGGATTTTAAAGAGTCACACCAACACCCCCATCATGAACATTAAGGGTTCGGCTCTTTGGTGGAAAACAGGCTCATGTGAAAACTGCTTCAGGCTAGTATCATGTACAAGATAGTTGAATGTGTAACAGACGACATTGGAGATGTGTGTGAGTGCAAGTGTTAAGTACAATACACAGGGAAAGAATAAGAGAGCCACATGGAGTGGAGCTTACTGTCTGCTTTGTGTGTCTTGTTGAAAACGTTCCTCTCAAAATTCTTCTGCTCCTTCATGGAGGGGTAAAGCTCAGGGTCGTAGTACTGAAACGGAAACATTCATGAAAGAGTGACTTAACTGCTCGTTTCATTCCCTTTGGGGCTGTTTCTATTAAACATGTCAGAACAGATGACGCTGTGAGGAGGTGTGAATAAGTATCGTCTAAATGTGCTAGGAGACCATACCAGTGGTTTTTATAGTTTTAGCCCATTAAAGTTTAAGATTTTCATAAAATGAAACCCTGCTTTTATACTATTCATGGTCATTTTATCAGTAATACCCACTCAGTGTATTCACATTCAGTAATTACCTCTCTATTGTATTTATCAGATTTCATTGTTAGTTGAGGAGTCTAGCATTCCCACACTGGATTCAACTTGCCTTCACATGCACAAGGGATTCACATGAGCCGATGCAGTGTGTAATCCAATGTTACTGTTTGTAATTTGATCTAACTGATATCAGCCTCACTGTTTACTGTTCACTCTCCCGCAGCCAGATCAGAGCTGTGTTAGAAGAGAAAAGTTGTATAAAGTCTTGTGTGCCTCCAGAAGGAACTAGGTGCAGTCTGATAAATTGCCTCCAGTGACGTCCCTTGAGTCAGCATCAGTTGAGGCCAAGCTGCAACCTCCAAGCACACTAACCTGCAGTTCCTCTAATGACCACTAGATTCTGTCTCTAACAGTGAGTCAATCCCCATAAACTGGATTAGTTTGGATTTAGGGGCGGAGTCTGGCACTGCCAAGATGGCGACGGTAGGACAGCTCACTCTGAGCTTCAAAACCACTCTTCAGAAACCTGATGGTGAGGTCACGGAGGATACATCCATCTTTATTTACGTCTATGGTTAAGATTGAAGAAAAACTGTGGGGTGGAGTTACCAGGCCTCTGTGGCCTGCTCCTCTTCTCTGCTTGAGGTTACAGGCTCCAGACTAAATTAGCCACTACTACCACAGTACACCCTTGTTGCCAGCAGAACTATCGATGGTCACATTGCACTGGGGTAATGTGCTGTAAGTGTCAGGTTTTGACAAGGGGAAAAAAAAGCATGGAATAAAGACAATATTTTTGTTTCTGCTGCTTTTTTTAGACTGTCCATCATGAATGACAGCGTGACAGGAGTCCACTCTTTTAGGTTACTGCTAATACTAACCCCACATTTCGTACTGCTGCTGCTTCATATTAAAAGAATTCAACTGTTGAAACACAGGATGGCTTTTATTGTGAAGGAGTCACAGACAACTCATATTTTGTTACCTTTGGTTGCTGTTTTGTTTTGTTTCCCCTGTTGATAGGGATTTTACATTACACATTTGAAATCCCTGTGGGAAAAAACCATTGAAGTTTGACAAGGGAATCCACATATTGAGCATTTTGGGGTTTTAGGTAGATAAACAAATGCAAATAAATGGAACAATGTGTTCACTGTGATGGACTACATAACACAAATGTCAGTACTTTAATTTTCACAATGAAAGGAAACTTGTGTTTTGTATCTAAATATGGAAAAATACTCAACAGGTTTTACATGAGAGCTGAGAACCATTACTGAATGTAATCAGTCTAAATGTTGTTAATACTGGCACATTAATTTACAATGGCAAAGAAACACCAATGTCATAGATGCTAAAAGTAAATAAACACCTTCTAACCAATCAAAATCCAGAATTTTAATTGGCCATGGTATAAGAGGTAATTAACAGTTAATGAGCTATAGCATGTTAGATCACCTTTATAGTGCTTGAACCTTACCTTTGACAGAAGTCTGTTGCCATCATTATCAAGGATGAAAACAGCTTTCACTGTGTAGAGGGAAGGTTCCTGCAACAATAAGCAGAAAGAACATCTTAAATATTTCAGCTTTGCTGAGTCACCTCAGAGAGACATCTAGGACATAATGCTAGAGCTCCAGTCAGCCATTCCTCCCTCACCTGACCACTGTGTTGTATCAACCTTTATTATCCAGATAAATCCTGATTTTCCAGCAACACCCTGTTTGCATTCACATTAAAACACACAAGGTGACCAGCCCAACCAGTTTCTACACTAAACACCAGGCTGCATTCACCGTTTCTTCCATATTCACATGCTTCAGTTCTGGTTTTTCATTTATCATTTCCAGATGTGGAAATGACTGAAGATATTTTCCATTCTCCTGCACACACTTCACTTATCCTTCCTTCCATTCATCTGTCCGATCTGCGAAGAGTTTTCAGACCCGGGACAAAGTTCTGTTATGCACTGACTAGCATAGATTCACAGTCAGAGTGTATCACAGAACTTAGACCAGGAGCTTACAGCATCCATTGTCCAATATTTCCTTGGTATACAGTAAAATGCTACCTGCTGCCAGAGGAAATGGATCAACACAAGCATTAGGATTCATCCTATGGAAAACTTTCATTGCAATCCATCCAATATTTTTCAAGACATTTTGTTGTGGACCGCTTGGTGACTATGAAGTCTCTCAGGAGCATTTGTTTAATGGTCAGAATCCACTATTGATGAAACTCCTTTTACTGACTAGTCTGTCAGTTGTCTTCAGACTGGAGTGTTGCTGATGTATCAGGAGTCTGATACACCTATAATTACTTTAGTCAAAGCTGTCATGTATAATAAATGTACAGATCTTGTTGGTTGTCATTCCTGCTGGCAGACCAGCTGTGCACAGTGATGAAGACCTACATTTGGCTGCATATTTGTAAATCCATCACACACAAGTTCTACAAACACTAACTAGTAGTAACTTACTTCCATGACAACAGGGCAAACTGGATCTGGTGATGAAGCTCATGATATTGAAATCACCAGAAAAGCTGCTAAATGGACCATTTGGTGAGATCATTTTGTCAACAACTAGTTAGTTTTAGTCATTTACTGAATCAGGTTGTACCATAAAAACTTGTGTTGTTAGGAAACATATGTAGCACTGTCCAATTAAAAGCCACCAACAATGTGAACAGAAAGTTTTAGCAGGTCAAGTTTCAGAGTTAGTAGTATAAATGTAGTTTAGAATATGAGGGAAAATATCCAACCAAGCTACCAACCTTTTTTTTGGCAATTTGGTTAAGATAATACCATAACATTTTGTAATTTGAAATATTTTGTATTATTATGTGAAATATACTGTATGTTAATGGTACTTCACCAAAACTAACATTTCAGGCAGATGTGTGTTTCCGTTGGTTAATTAAAGGTGCCCTGGAGTTTTTGAGCACTAGTGGTGCTGCGTGTTTTTACATAAGTCCCTGGTTTGTTTGTATCGTGGAAGCACATGACTGCTAACATTTAATATAAGTGATGTAATACACAGTGCTTCACACTTTTTCTTCTGATCCACAGTTGATAGTGGCAATGCGCTAACGAAAGCAGTGACGAAGACCGCAAGCTAGCAAACATGGATGTGAACAATGAATTTAAAATTGGCTTTGCAGAAGTTCGATGAGGAAATCAGGCCTCATCAATGCACACAAGGGATTTTGGTGAGAAAGACTGAATGCACATTTGTTTGCTTACAAGAAAACGCTACAAAGCACCTTTACTATTTACACTTGTCCTAGTTAGAGGTGGAGCCTGCATACTGTAACTTTTCAACTACAACATCATTAAAGATATTTTACTTTCTACTCTAAATGGCACCGTAATGTAAATGTAAGAGGAAATGGCTTATTTGACTCTGGATCAACATGACAGCTTAAAATCTAACAATTGTCTGGTTTAAACATAATGACAGATTTTCTGTAATATGTGTGTTTAGAAGTAGGTCATGGATTCAGACGAAACCAGAGACCAATTTAAATGTCTGGAGACTGTTCCACTAACTAAAAAAGTAACATAAAAGATTGCAGCCTCCTGCAGCTTAGACTTGGCTGTTTTTCTAAACTGCTATTTGCATTTATTTTTAAATTTTTACCACATTATGGACATGATATACAAACAGGACATTCTAGGCTTTAAGCAGATGCTATAAATACAATTTTCTCTAACAGTGACCTGACCTCTATAAGGTATATTACATGATGCAAAAAAAGAGACCTTTGTTTTGCTTCCATCATGCTTTGCTACACAGAACCAGATCATTAACAGCTGTATTTAATGGAACCTATTTTAATGGATTTACTAGAGAAAACCCTTAATTTCCAAAATTAGCAGGTTTTCAGATTTCTTCAAAACAAATGAAAGTCTATATTTGGCTTGGAAGCAGCAAGGAACACAACCAGAGGATTCATTATTCTTCCAGAGTGAATGTAGCAAAGGAAAACATCTTGAAGGAGTAGTTTGACATTTTGGAACAAAGGCACTGATGAATTTAGTAACACAGAGATAGAGCCAGGCTAACTGCTTCCCCCTGTGTTCAGTCTTTCTGCTAAGCTAAGCTAAGCTAACTAGCTGCTAGGCAAATATGAGAGTTGTGTCATTCTCCTAACTCCATGCATGAAAGTGAATAAGTGTATTTTCCAAAATGTCACACTAATGCTTTAAATTTGGTAAACACTAACTACTACTAAACTACACTAACCTAACCTAACCTAACCTTACCTAATACATAATACATATACAATACATAATACAATGTTTTATTGGACAGTTTAACAATAGTGCTGCCTCTGTGGCTTTTATATGTACAATGATATCGCTACATTTCAATAAAAATAAACATATATGAATGAAAATGAACAGAGACAGTGTGGACTATATTAAATTTCACTTTATTTTTTAACATACATTATAGATTGGATAACAAGTGTATCCTTTATTACACACACAGTCAATTAGATTTTTCTACCTAAAAAAGTATATGGACATTTTGAATAAAGATTATTTTGTCAAAGTGTGTAAACTCCAGTGTTGAAGATGAGCTGAGCTGTGGAGTCCAAACTCTTAAGGATGAGACGACTATGCTTACGGACATCTACAGCTGAGCTGGACTCTATTAAACACACTTTTTTGGTGGGAAAAAAGTTGACAGTGAGTGTAGTAAAGGATGCAATTGTTATCCAATCTGTGATACATGTTAGAAAATAAAACATAAATGGTCATTGAGAACCAGACATGGAGTAAATTTCCAGATGCACATTATTTCAAAATCTAGGTTAGGTTAGGTTAGGTAACACGCCTGATGGACAAGTAAAAGTATCTGTAATGCCCATCACTCCCCTCAGCGTCCCAGAGCACTTAATGTTAATGTTTGTGTTTTTATCTCTTGAATGTATGTATTCATATTTGGAGCAGTTTTGTGTTTGAAGTCTGTTTCCTGTGAAAAACGAGCAGTCAGGTCTTTAGCTTACTATGACCCATAGTTACTTTTTGTTGTTCAGCAACATCTAGTGGTCATAGTAATTATGACAGGAGCAAAGGGAAAAGTGTGTTGACGACAAAGTTAGGACGAGGTTGTGGTGGCTGGATGAATATGAAACAGGAGATCGGTGTTCGACTCCCATGTGAAACCAGTAGTTTATATTGTTTCTATTATCCATGACCGTTCGTTGTTATTATTGTAACCATGACAACAAAGATCGTCTGATTTTGAGGAAGTACTTATTTTTACGCAAATCATGATTTTTTCTTAACCCTAACCAAGTAGTTTTTGTGGCTAAACCTAACAAAGCCATTACCGTTATTATAGTAACCACGGCAACATTCGGTACACCACTCGCGGTACAGTCACGCGTTTATTATGGTAACCATGCCACCAAAGGCGCGCTATTTCAGGAGACACTCCCATGGGTCGTATCAGAGGGTTGCTCCTGCCGCCAGTAGGGGCGCTATAATAGGAAACACTCCTCTGGGTTGTAAACGGGGGTAGGAACAAACGACCGACATGCTGGTATGGATTGGAGGACTTGTTGGGTGGAAAGGTTTTGTGCTAGACGATCTATGAACACACTGATCTGCTTCCTTTTCTTTCAATTTTACTGAGTTTTTATTTATGACCACCATTAGTAACATCACAGTTTTATCTTGGACTTGGAAGCTACAAATACATAACATAAAGCTTCTTACAAACTGGGAGTCGAGTTTGTCTTTTCCTTATGAAATCTCCTTCAAGTTTCAATGACCTCATAATGGTTTCCGTCCAGGTCAAGAAAAAGTGGTCAGGAAAGTACCTGCCTGGGCATTTGCCGGGTAGGTAGGGTCTAACAAAAGGTGCTCCAGAGTTGCACTATGGGAAATGTATGATCATGTGTTTTTTTAGGTTTTCTCATAGGAGCTCAGGATATCTCAGTCTCTGCTGCTTTAAACATTTGACAATTCTTTGTCAAATCGGTTCCTTGAGTGTGAGTGGAGAACCAGGTGTTTTACTTGTAATGGAGAAGCGCCACACTGCAGTATCACTATAAGGAAAAGATCCAAATACCTGAAACACAGAACTGAGTGCCAACACAAAGTGATCAAACACTATCGCTACATATACACATACTTATGCTAAATTATACCTGTAGACAGAGACGCAGACAGAGAAAGGGAAAGACGGTGGGGGTGAGAGAGGGAGGGAGGACAAAGACAGAGGCAGGCAGACAGAGAGAGAGAGTAGTAAAGGAAGAAGAGAAAAAGGAAGAAGGAATCTAAGAAGATACATGTGACAGAACAAGCAAAATACTGAATATTCAAATGAATTAACCTACTTCAGTAAAAGTAAAATTCAAACACTCAAAATTACACTTTAGTAAATGAAACATTTATGTATAAGGAGCCCAATGAAATTAAAGAATCAAAAGTAAAAGTACTCATTATGCAGACTGGCTCCTTTAAAGGTGTTGATGACTAGATCCTTATTTTTCATATACATAACATGTAACCAGCATTTTAATTAATTGTAACAACTTTGTAGGTTTAGGTTGATCATATGTTTCATGTGTAAAGTGTTGGAAGAAGAGGTACATTTACTCAAGTACCATACTGAAGTACAATTTGAAGGTACTGGTACTTTAATTTGTTTGTATATTGGAATTTGTATTTCATTTAATTCTACTTTATACTTCCACTCTACTACATTCCAGAGGGGAATGAACTTTTTACTTAACTAAATTTATTTTTCAGCTTATTATCATGTGGAATTTTCATTCAAACCAGTATGAAGCACTGTTAACAGAATAATCCTGCAACAGAAAATAAAGTATGTAAAATCAATTCCTCTCAACCACCTATAAATGCTGCTCACATGTGGATGCATCAGTGTTGACGACCTAATTTTTACCTTTGACAGATTAAGTTCATTTTCTGATAATACTGTGCTTTTTAATGCAGAGCAATTACTTGTAATAAAGTATTTTTATACCGAGGTAGTGTAACTTTTACTTAAGTAAATGAATAGTTCCTGCACCACTGATTGCACTGAAGTAAAAGAGTTTCCCACTGAAATGTTGTGAAGTACAAGTAAAGTAGCCTACATCAAAAACGTATTTAGGTGCAGTATTAGAGTAAATGTAATTTTACAGTTACTTTACAACACTGAGAAACTGTGAAAAAGAAAGAATGAAACAGAAACATTTGAACAGGAAACTGACAGATATGAGAAAAGAAAGAGGTTAAAGAGTGAGGGGGTGAGAGACAGACTGGATAAATGGTGCGCGAGGCAAATGAAAAGGAGAGAGAGAGAGAGAGAGAGAGAGAGAGAGAGAGAGAGAGAACAGTGGACGTGGCACGTACTCTGCTCTACACGTCAACCGATCTGTGCACATATGGTCCACACAAGCAGACATTTAAACACCCAGAGCTGCTTTAACTACAACCACACACTCCCACACTGCTTCTCTTCATGTGTCATATCAACAGGATCGCGTCTCTACAAGTGATCCCTGCAGGAACTGAAGCTTTGCTTTACCTACTGTCCTGTTGAGCTCTGCACTGGACTGTGTGAGGATAAGTGGATAACAGCTGTGGCTCAACCAGCTCCATTGTAATGGAGTTAACTTAACACCCTAATAAGTTGTCGCATTGTAACCAGCACTGACCATCTGCACTATTTTTACACTGACAGACAGAGAAAAGTGTTGGCATTTAAACGCTCTGGCTGCTGCTGCATGTGAGACAGTGATCAGATCGGGCCTGGGCGTCTACAGTCAAATAATATGACGGCCACAGTCAGGATCACACTCACATGAACGCATCAGAGGAGAAATAAAACCTGTTTATGTTTAATGAACAGGCTGCAGCCGAACCCCCCTCCCTCCCCTCCCCTCCCTTCATTTTCTCCAGTATTGCCCACCACCGAAACTGCCATAATGCAACAAATGTCCCGCACGTTTAGAAAAACACACACACAAAAAAATACTACATTAACTGTCGACATTACAACCCTCTACCTAGCAACCAAAGGTGTCGCTTCCCGTGCTGGGTGAAACGGTGGAGAGGCTCACCAGAGACGTGGAGTCCATCGCTGCCGCCGTGCTCGCTCGGTGTGTTGACGTGGACAGCTCTGAGCTGTCACACCGAGATCACTGCTTTTTTTTTTTTTAACAGAGCCGCGCTCCCGCGCCAACAGCAGCCAACCGGAGAGAACCACAGGAGTCGGTAGCCGAGCGCGCCCCCGATAGTCTTCGAGCTCTTTGGCCTTTCATAATAAAAGTCACTGCTCCGTCAGAGCCTATGTTTGTATTGAATTGTACATTTGTATTGTATTTACTGTTGGATATGTTTATGATGTTAAAGTGATATTCCGCATTTTTCATATATTCAACTAATCCCTTAATTTTTTTTATTAGCCTATTATCAAACAGATCAGTGAGCCATCACTGCATTGAGTGAAATTTCTTTCCATTACAATGAACATGGAATGAACATTGAATTCAATCTATCTGTTCAAACCTGCTGTAGGCTACAGAGACTGTCCATAGTCCTCTGTATGAGCAGCTTATTACGACCCAAAGCTCCGTTTTATTGTTACACGCCCTCTAGCGGCCATAGTGATTATGAGAGGAGCAAAGGAGGAAGTCAGGTGACGAACTATACAGATGAAGACCACAAAGTCTGCATTAGGAAGAGGTTGGGATGGATGGATGGGTTGACAAAAAACGGTTGATTTCTTGTCTGAAACTGTTCCACAACTTTGTCATTGTAACCATGACAACAAAGGTCCTATAACCTTAAGGGAGTACGCACTCAAACCCAAACCACAATCTTTTTCACAAATTAACGTGCCAGGTTGTTGGCTGTAAATGTTCACTGGAAATAGTCCCCAACAAATGCACTCATTTCTCATGTTTGCTGAAAAAACTACAGTGTCCAGCTTTTTAGGAAATTACTGAACATTTGTTTTCTAAATGAGACTATTGAAAGACTCACATCCTCAGAAGGAACCAGTTGACTTGGGGCTGACTGTCAGAATAGGATCATGGGAGAGATCGACTGACATATTGTCGGTTGCTGTCTTTTCATGGAATTAGTTGACAGCGAGCCAGCTAATCTTAAATTAAATAATAAATAAAAGAGAGGCATATCGGTGTTGATGTGCTTAGACTCCAAGGACATGGCATGTATAGTATGCAGCTTGGGTTTTGTTAAGGTTTACCCAAGTGCTTGAACTTCAGCATCCTGCAGTGCATGCATTTGCACCTTTTGGTGGCATCAGCCATATACAAAAAATATTCATTTGAGGGCACAAATGACTCATTCCTATCACATAACACTCATGTGAACCCATGAACTCATGTTTGTGCAGGAAACAAAGTCACCCAGTCAGTGCACATGGATGTTCAGGCAAGAGAAAAACAGAGCTGTTTTATTTATTTACTATTATTATTATTATTATTATTATTATTATTATTATTGTTTTTATCTTTATTTTTATTATTATCAGCAGCTTTCTGTACTTTTATAGCTTGTACCTGAATCTGAGTTTGCCTCTTCTGTTCCTTCTCTTACTTTCATCCAACAGATTTTAGCATCACTGTTTACACACCCCTCCAAAGGAAACTAAACTCACCAAGCATTTTTTTAGGAACACATGAACATCTGCTTATTCATGTAATTATCCAATCAGCCAATCATGTGGCAGGAGTGCAATTCATAAAACAAGCAGATGCAGGTCAGGAGCTTCAGTTAATGTTCACATCAAACATCAGTTTTAGTAACTTTGACTGTGACATGGATGTTGGTGCCAGACGGGCTGGTTTGAGCATTTCTGAAACTGGGATTTTCTACTCTACTCTGAGTTACTCAGAATGGTGCCAACAACAAAAGTTCTGCAGCTCTGTGGACAGAAACACCCTGTTGATGAGAGAGGTCAGAGGAGAATGTGCTTGAATGTGCAGCTGATGAATCTGCAGGAATGATGTGATGCATCATGTCAACATGGAGCAGAGGCTCTGAGGAAAGTTTCAACATCTGGTGGATCCATGACATGAAGAACTGAGGCTGCTGAGCAAAGGGAGGAACTACCCAGTGTTAGGAGTTCCTAATAAAGTGCTCATTGAGAGAGAATTAGTCATTCCCCTCTCCCCAGTCCAGACCAAAGTTTAAGTTCAGCTTCCACAGCTTCATGAAATTCCTGCCATTTTGCAGCTAAATGACATATTTCACTGCAATTTACAAAGTTGTGTCAGGGCAGGACTGACAGTTAATTAGTGAGTTTCTCATTAGAAACCACAGATCAGATTCAACAACATGTAAACACCAGTGAGCCTTCCTTCCAAAGCTGCTTTACTGAGTATCAAACTTAATTATGGTTGACAGCCACCAAGAGAAACACTGTTATAGGGTTACTGTGTTAAGTAACTAACACTGGCCGCTGTTCAACACCCACAACCAATCTCCACCACCCCACCTGACAATGGGGAGAGAGCCTTGGCCGTCAGGGAGGTTTGGCAGAAAAACTGTGATGGACTGACTCCCAATGAACAGGGTCTTCTGTGGCAGCTCCTGCTTGAGTTTAAGGACAGTTTTTCATGGTCAGAGGACGATGTAGGCCGGACAGATGTCATCCAGCACAACATTGAAATGGGAGCAACCTGTTAGGATGAGACCCCGATGCCTTTCCCTGGCCAGGCAGGTGGCAGCAGACAAAGCCCTGTGAGAGATGCAACAGGTTGGACTCATAGAACCCTCCAACAGAGCCTCGGCCTCACCAGTTGTCATTGTTCCCAAAAAGATGAAGGATGATTGGAGGTTCTGTGTGGATTTCAGACCCCTCAACAAAGTGACCAAAAAGGATCCTTATCCCCTCCTACACATTGATGAGGCCCTGGACACAGTTGCGGGGTCGTCTTGGTTCTCCTCTCTGGACCTGCGCAGTGGATACTGGCAGATCCCCCTCACTCCAGAGGCCAGACCCAAGAGTGCCTTTATCACGAGAAGGGGCCTGTGGCAGTTTAAGGTCCTCCTGTTTGGTCCCTGCAACACCCCTGCCATATTTGAGAGACTGACGGACAAGGTGCTGGCAGACATTCCCGGGCAAGAGTGTGTTGTTTACCTGGATGATATCCTCGTTCATGGTGAGTCCTTCGAGTCAGCTCTCAGGGCCCTCAGGGTGGCAGCAGCAGGACTAAAACTACACCATCAGAAGTGCTGCTTTTTGAGGCATGAGGTAACATTCCTGGGCCACCGATGATGATCTCAGCATCATGGGTGAGAAGGTACAAACAGTGAGGGAATGGCCAACCCCCAGCTCTGTGCAGGACCTGAAAAGATTTCTGGGCCTTGCCTCCTACTACAGAAAGTTTGTGAGGGGGTTCTCCTGCATCCCATCTGCCATCTGCCATTTCAAATGTTAGGACCAACCACGCTGCCTTACAGTGGGTCATGTCGTTCAGAGTGCCAGAAGGTCAGCTGGCAAGCTGGATCGAAGAGCTACAGGCGTATAACTGTGGTCCACAGACCAGGGGCTCACCATGGAAATGCTGACACACTCTCCGGTTGCCCCTGCAACGATGGTGGCTTCCACAACTGTGAGAGGAAAGAGGCACAGGAGTGAGAGCGGGTGCAACCAGATGTGAAATGTGCAGTTGTGGGCTCAGATGGGCTTCCAACCAGCCATGGACTGGCAGTGGTGGATGCTGCAGAGTGGGGGCACAAACAGGAGGAGGACGTTGACATCAGACCAGTGCTCACGTGGGTGGTGACACAGCAACCATTGGATGCATTGGAGGGGATGTCTAGTAGATTTGGGGTACCCAAAGTCACCCACACTGACCAGGGCAGGAACTTTGAGTCCTGTGTGTCCGCAGCTATGTGTGAAAAACTGGGGTCCCATGAGACCCACACCACACCGCTCCACCCTCAGAGCTATGGGCTTGTCGAGAGATTTAACCCCAGCCTGGCACAACAGCTGGCCACAGTGACTGCTAAACACCAACGGGACTGGGATAATCATGTCCTCCTTGTTTTAATGGTGTACCGATCGGCGGGCCAAGACTCCACTTCCTGCTCGCCTTCTCAATTCATGTTAAGCAGGGAGATCCGGACTCCAGCCGAGATGATGTTGGGCAAACCGCTTGACAGCCCTGTGGACCCTCTTGGACCTGAGTATGCTAGAAGGTTCCAGGACCGCTTGGAGACTGCACATGAGTTGGCCAGAGGCCAACTGCAAATGCAAGTGCAAGACAGACACGCGTGCCAGAGGATGACATTTTGAAGTCGGAGAGCTGGTCTGGGTGTATAATCCCCAGAGAAAGAAGGGCAATAAGTGGGTGGGACCCTGTTGGATCCTTAAGAGACTGGGGGGTTGTTTGCCCCATCAGGGGCAAGAGACTTTGAGAAGGGGGGTTAGTGTAACGGACTAGGTGACATGTTAATGTAACTGTTCTGTTAAGGGTTACTGTGTTAAGGCTGTTAAGTTCAGGGAGCGGGAACTAGTCTACGGTGGGAGTTGTTGAAGTTAGTTGATATCGCTGAGATTACAAGGTGGAACCAGTTCAGGTTTGTTGTTCGGCATTGGCTACGGCGCACAGTAACCTGTGTTAAATGAACACATACAGTACCGGTGAAACGACCTGTAGTTTCACTATTGACTGACGCTACATTATGTTATAACAAAATTCTAAAAATGTATGATACAAAAATACAAAAGTTTAGTATTTATTTATATTATATATAATATTATTTATTAATATTGCAACTAGAGCTAAAGACTAAAATGTGACTGTATAAAATAACATTTGAGTCAGGGTAAGATAAACTTCTTCATATTGTGAGTTAAATCTAAGTCAGAATATAAAATATCTATATTGATTTAAATAGATGCGACCTAAACCCGCTATAAATGAGTGATAATGAGACACTGGTATTATTCCCCTCGTTACTGCGGGACCATGCTGGATCACTCGGGCACGCGCATCGCCAGACATCGCTCGCGCGACTTGCCCACCGTTTTGCGTCCTCCCCCTTTTCCCCGCGTTGCATTCTGGGAAGCCAAGTTCACGATCGTTCAGGAAAAATGGCAGACGTAAGGCCGCCACCCCTCCGGAGCCTGGATGATTTTCTCCTGAGCTCGGCCCGGTTCGCCGTGCCCGATGTCCGCGACCTGGACCGCTGGAACAACCGCATCATCAATAACCTGCTGTACTACCAGAGCAACTATTTCCTGTCTGCGCTAGGCTTCCTCTTCATAGTGGGGTAAGTTTCATTCTGCTGACGTGACACCCCCTCATCCATAACGAACATACTGGAAGTATCTGCAGGAAACACTGTGGAGTTATGTGCATTTTACTGCGACACTTGAAATGACTTTACATGATGTCTGCATCAAACTCCTGCAGCCTGCACGGACAGATGAGAGAGAATAAGAGGAAGATCAGGGTGACATCTTACTCTGTTTTGTATCTGTTTTCATTTACCCCTCCTGCTGATCCCCATCAGCCGTTAACATGTGAGGAAAGGGACAGACTGTCAGTCAGTTAAAGAGATTGTCACCCGTTTAATTATTCCTATTTCTGCTGTATCCTTCAACTCAAACATGAGGTTGTGTAGCCTTAACATCCATCATCCAACATCTAAATCAGACTCTCCAGATGTAAGGGAACATGCTTGTTTGGCACAGACCCAACACACCATCATCATTTTCATATTTTTTTTTCAGTGAAAGTGAACTATTCCACTATTCACCCTGATTTAATTGTACTTTTATTTTTTTTTATTGTAAAGCACTTTGAGCTACATTCTCTTGTATGAAAAGTGCTCTATAAATAAGGTTGATTATTGTGAACAGTGAACTTATGATGCATGTACACAGGAAATGAGCAGCGCCCCTTGAAGATAAGGTTAGCTTTATTATGTATTCTTCTGACGAATTACATAGAAAGACCAGACCTGTGTCTGAAATCACTCCTTATTTACTACATTGTGTACTATCTTTACTGCCATTTTATTTCAGTGTCTGAATTCTGACATTTATGTACTTTGTGCTCTCAAAAATTTCCGCAATGCCATGAAAACAGTATTGTCCACAGCATATACACTACTTTCTACCAACAATCCAACGGTACAATGTGTCACATTTTAGTGTGTGACAAGTGGTGTGACATTAACACCTGACACTTATGTAACTACATGATGATTCTTAATAGTCCAAAGATCTCAGTTTACTGCTCACTATAAAGTAAAAACTGACTGATATACAGGGAATATATAGAGAATGTTAGTCTGGCTCTCAGTACTTTATGACTTCTCTGTCATGTGACACTCAGTCCTGAGCTCATTGGTTCCTGCGGACCACGTACATCTTATAACAAAACTCTCAAATGTATAGTTTCACTGTTAATGGCTCAGTAACTGTAGTTTTTATTAAACATTATTCAAACAGAAGCAGTGGATTAATCCATATTTGATGATGTAGTGACAGGCAGCAGGACAGTGTATGTGAGACTGAGTCAATATAAAACTACAGTGTCTTTGTGTTCATGGTAATGATGGAACACGTGCAACAGTGTGGCTCATTGATGTCTTTTAATAGCTTTTGGTCAACAATGAGCTCTATGGTACAGAGGAATAAGATGTCAGGCTTTGATATACACACACAATACTTGTCAGTAGTATACATTCAGTGTTTGTTGCAGTATTTCCATGAAATTTGTCAACAATAAGAAAAACGTAGAATAATTAAAGCCTTTGGGTTTAGTTCCCACATATGCAGTCTTTTTTATCAGACAGAAACCATCAAAATAATATAATGTTATGTCTCTTTTATGTACAGTAGACCTTTGTGCTTCTACATAACTCCATCTAATTTTTTACTGTCGTCTGGTTGTAACTGTAAAACTGTTCCAACAAATCATCTGAGCTCAGTTGCACCAACTACAGTGTTTGTATTTGCGGGAGTGACAGAACGTCTTTTTTAAACATGAGTGATCATCAGTGAGATCTGATAAATGCTGGCAGTCCTAATAATTAATCACTTAGGCACTAAGGCACTAATCAGGAAATACCTTATACTAGTATCCACTTGACAACTTGCTCATACTGTAAGTGTGGGTATGGGGGCAGACCATCACTTCACTTCCTGTATGTTGGTGAATCTCTCTCTGCTCTCAGGTATTTCCAGCCGTTCCAGCTGTTTGTTGGGGCAGTGGTGGTCACCTTGTTGTTCCTGGGCTTCGTCTGGACGGCCGAGAACCAAGCCCCCGTTCGCCGTTTCCGTAGAAACCACCCATCTATCTGTGTGTTGGTCATTCTTCTGGCGAGTTACCTCTTCATATCGGTGCTGGGAGGCGTTGCTGTGTTCCTGTTTGGAATAGCCTTCCCTGTACTGAGTAAGACACACACACGCACACACACACACGCACACGCACACACACACACGCACAAATATCAGCATGTTCCATCAGAGCATGAAATTAGCTCACACTCTTGCCTGGGGACACTGGTTTTGGGAACCAGCCCAGTTAGCAGAATAAGACTGAGCTTCATATTGTCGTTTCCAAACATCACCTGTAAGAACAGTTAACAAAACATCGTAAGGAGAGCTGACAAACCCATGTTTTAATCATTTAAAAGCACAAAAATTTAAAGATGTGGTTGACTGAGGAACTGCTCAAATCGTGTTCAGAGCAAAAACTCAGCAAATATCTTCAACAGTGACCAAAGGTTGTTTCCAATGAGAGAATATATATATATATATATATAGATATGTTCGAAAAACAATTAGTAAGAACGAATGCAAAATTCCAGTGTGTTGCAATCAAATGAGTTAAATTATGGAACACCTGGAGTGAAGAAATGAAAACATGTGGAGCACGAATCAAATTTAAAAGGCTGTATTGAACGGATAAACGATGGACTTGTGACTTGTGTTGTTTTGATTGTCTCCTTGTGTCTGAATGTGTGGATTGAAGTATCATGGAGACTGGTGGAGGATAGCTGAGTTCTCACATTAATCACAAAGCTTATTGTTAAAGCAATAATAACTTCTTCCTACTCCCTGTCGAGCATGGATGACCTGATCAGAATCATTTACTGGGATTCTGATGTCTGCTGATGTTTTTGCTGGTACACTTTGTATTTGTTGCTTTTAAACAATATATTGTATATTTTTACACTCTGTAGTCAGTTGACCAGTTGACCTGTATTTTCACTTCCCTCTGGTGGTTTTTAGTCATGCAGATAGTTTTAGTTTTATTTGCTTATCTCTGAATTTTTTTCTTACCCTCTAACACCATGGAGGTGAATGAGAAGTGAAAAGTGCTGTATTGATGTTGTGAAATAAACTGACCCAAATGGAAACGCTGAAAAGCTGAGAGCACTGACCAATAGGACTTTAACTGGTGGCTCAGGCGACCTCTGTCAGTGCCAGCCATGGACCTCAATAACAATGACAGTTTTGTTGTGTGTGTGAATCACTTTTCATCCTGAGTTATAAAGTGTCAAAGTTTAGGAAACTTTTCCAGCTGGTTTGTCAGTGCAGCTGAGGTTAATGTGTTATGACACACATGACAATCTGAATGTGCATATGAAATGTTTTTCAAATGGTGGAAAATGTTTGTTGTCTTTCCTGTCCTTGTACAAAATAAGTTCATGATAAAAACCTACTTAGCATCCAGCATTGATAATGTAATCATTTAGCCGCTATTAACACACAATATTGTAACTGACTTTGCCTGGGTGTCGGCGTGACTTGATGATCGTGCTTGCAAGCGACCAGATGTGTGTTTGTCTGTTCCACTGACTGCTCGGATCCAGCAGCAGGTGTAGGTGTGGTCCAGCGTTTACCAGCTCGTCAGCCGGGTCAGGCCTTCGTCTCTGGCTGGGTCTAACGTGTGTGAAGTGATGGAATTGACCACCTTCTATTTCTTTCTTGAAATGGCTTGCAGTAAAAAATAGTCGATTACAATACCTAATTAGCAGATGAACAAAACTGGGTTATCTTGCAATAAAAGTGGGGCCAGTGCTGATGTAAGAAAGGTTGGTCCTTTTTTCTTTGTTCTTTGTTCTGCAGAAAAGGCCTTTCTCTTTTACCACTGTGCACAACAGACAGAGTGTGACAACAGCTTTTATTGATAAGATTACATCTTGAATCACGGGGTTACCAGTGGCATAGTGTACATGCTGAGTGGGTGGAGTTCAGGCTGGAAGTGGAGGCATGTGAAGCCCCTACAGTGGGCTATGAACCAAAATGCTTTCACCTTGCTTACTATAGCACTCCCTTAAGGTTGACATAGGTCATTGTTTTTCTGGAAAACATTTGCAGGCTCTACTATCTTCCCTTTAAAGTTCCCCTTTTGCACCTTTTACATTTGAATCTGCACAACTGCTTTTACATATAGTGGCAGAATAAGGTTAATAATAGGGTTGCAATGGTTGTGGCTTGGACCCCTAATAATGTCCAATGAATCATTAAATCACCTGTAGTATAATGGACTTACATGTTAAATTCAGCATTATGTACATTTCCACAGATGCTAATTCACACAACCACAACAGTAAAGTTTTCATTCACAAATTATTTCCATCCATCACTTTTAAGTTAATGTCAGTGAAGCAACAACATCCCAGAGAAATTTCACATTAAAAGCCTACCAGGTATGGGAGGGATTATGCCTATTGAGTTGAAAGACTTTTATTATGAAACATCTATTATATTTAATTTATCAAGTCAACACAAGTCAACGGAGTAAACATGGAGGAATTGTTGCGTTTGTAGCAACAGCAAATTAATATTGGAGGAAATTTCTGATCAAATTTTGCATTAAAGGCCTGTGTGCAAAACAGACATGTTGCCAATACAGACCTAGTTCACTCTGCAGCTGCTTAATAAAAGAGGCCACAGCCAGTATTTGAGAATGTTTGGTAATTTGAGTTAACTATGTTATCACAACTCAGAAGGGCCAGCTCAGTTAACCTTAACTAGCTAACTAGAGAGCATTTCCTCCCTTCATCCCTCTGTCTGTGTCTCACCTTCACAGTGGTTCTGGTCCATGCGTCGGTGAGACTACGCAGCCTGAAGAACAAGCTGGAGAACAAACTGGAGAGCATCGGTTTGAAGAGGACACCCATGGGACTCCTGTTAGAGGCCTTGGGACAGGAACAGGAAGCTGGATCCTAGAGAGGAAGAGGAGGAGGAGGAGGAGAAGAAGTTGTGCAGGGGTGGAGGAGAGGTTGGGTCCAATCACAGAAAATGAAGGTGAAGAAGTGGATGGGAAATAGGAAGAGGAGAGGAGAAACATAGAGAGCAAAGGGTGGTTTGGTTTGTTAAAAACGAGTCATCACATGTTAGTGAAGGAAGAGACTGTGGTCCAAACAGAACAGAAATCATCATGAATAGTTTAAATCATCCCTGCTTGTTTCTTGCCAAACGTTGCACTTTAATCAAACATTGTTTAGTTTCTTTTCTTCTTTTATTTTGACATGACACCTTTTTGTGTGTTTGCACGTCATGTGTAGTATTGTAGGCTAGTCTGGAGTGTGCTCTGCTTTCTGCTGAGCGTCTTCATATGACAGATTAGTAGTTTCCAGCATTTTTGGCTGGTGACACTTTAAAATGAAGGAATGTTTTCTTGTGGCCGCTCGTCACACGCTGTATATGCTGACCAGTGTTTCATCTGGATGATGTTTAGAGAAGAGGTAAAATGATCAAGTAATTCATAAAAAAAAGTTACCAGAAAAAGCCTGTAAAAAATTCACAATTATATTAAGCAGATATATTTTCTTTCTGATAATAAAAACGTCTTCACCTTGGATTTCTAACATGAGAGAAAAAAGTGCGACATTTCAGAAATAGTTATTTAAATGTTACAAGAATAAAGCCATAAGGTGACTAGTAACGCGCCAGCAGCTCATTACTGCAGCGCTCTGGCTCAGACAGTCATGGAGTCCTGGTCTCTGGTCTCCTCGGCTCAGCTCCTGCAGGAAAACAAACTCCGCTTTAGAACATGTTTGGTTATAAACGTATGTTATGCAACTGGTTTTATTTCAAAATCTATAAGAATAACACACTTATTGGTAAAACAAAACTACACAAGTTAAGGCCATAAACATCAGCGTGATGGTTAAAACTGACTGGATTGTTTATAGCAATGGATTAAGATCCTGTTATTTTACAACTTCATTCTTCAAATGTTACAACTTTATTGAAATATTCTGACTCTGAAATTACAACTTTGTCCTTACTTCAAGAATTATGATGTTATATAAAAATCTAAATTTAGTTTTCAAATATTACATTTCTTTTAAAATTACAACTTTTTTTTAAAAGTTACAGCTGTAATTTAAAATATTATTCTTCTCTAGCTTTAGTCTTGAGATATTATGAATTTTTCTTTTAAAATTATGAGTCTTCTAAAAAAAAAGTTACAACTTGATTCACAAAAAGTTATGACTCTTCTCAAACCATTTGGACTTCACACTTGAAATCTCAGATTTGTTCCTCCCAGTGGCCACAATACTTCCACACTTCATATGCACAACAATGGAAAACCAAAGTATTGTAATACCAACAGACTTTATATTATACACAAGGAACAGAGCGACATGCAAGTAAATATGTCCATACTGGAAATACAGAATACAAGGACAACAAAGTATCCAACAGGTCCGTTACAGCTACAGAAACGTATAACACACATACTGTAAGATTTAAGCTTGTGTGTGTTACTACTTACCTGCAGTGTCTTCATTTGAAAAGGATCAGATGGAGATTATACATTTTATTGGTAAAACTACACCTGCATTAACTGACCTCAAATGAATTTCTCTTTCATTTAGTGTTTCCATTAGTTTGTGACTTAAATGCTTACATGAGCTTAAGGTTGAGGTTTTATATGAAGAGCAAGTTCAGAACAAATGTCATCAGCTCCTTCAGTCTCAGGCGCTTTGAGCTTCACAGAGTTGATTCAGGTCTAGTGGGAGAAGAAGGAAACTGAAGGAACCTGTTTCAAAACTAACCCTTTTAGTTTAGTAAGTCTGTATTCATCCAGGAGAAAAGGCTTCACTCAGACAGCTGCCTCTTCCACTCCCTCACTGCTGGTCGGTGGGATCTGCCCAGTGCTAACAACTGGGAGAAGCTTTAACTGTAGCTATTGAATCACTTTGAATTTGCCCTTAATTCCTTTATAACGTAAATCCTTGTTACCACAAACCAATAGAGTTTGTTGGTAGTTGTGCCAACACTTGTGGTAACTGCAGTTTGTAATTCTCCCCTTGTAATTTAGCTGTTTTTAGCCGCATTCCTTATAATTTACTCTTGTTTTTAGCCACACCGGCGGCGTGGCTGTTGGACTGGCAGCTTCGGTGGATCAGTCCATTATTCTGGTCCAGCAGATGAATCCTGTTGACTGTTTATCCCCTGACTTTTCATCTAGCTCCACCAACAGGTCACAGTTTTTATTTACTCAGTGAAATATCTCTGAAAGACCGAGTAGAGAGCCGATCACGTCATCATGTCTGGCCTGTGCTCCACTAGCTTCTGTAGCCAAATGAATCCTGTTCTAGGGAGTTCACTGGGGTTCATATTCCAAGATAAACTGGTATCTACTACAGAACTCACCAGTCAGGATTCATTCACAATTAATTGTTAAGCATATAAAAACACTACCGCTTCCACAGTATCCACCAGTGCTCTCTTCTAATGTAGTTTTTCATTACACATGTCTAAACTAACTAAGACTCGATTCACCATGGATGGTGTCGTGTCAGGCTGGTGATGTTTAACCTGTGATGGCCTAAGCATTATGGGAAATGGTGTTCTTTAAAGCTGAGTGAAACAGAAATATTACCGTTATGTCATTAAAATCGCCATCCTTATGTAGATGGACTGAACCACATGACATTACTGCTGTTGCAGGGCTTTTTATTATAAATGTTAGTATGATTTTTCATAATTTTCTTATTTCCAGAACTACGACTGAACCCTTAAGTTCTGGTTTCAAGGACATTCCTATGATCCAATTGAAACCTGGGATTGAAACCCTCCCTAAACTTTAACACATTGGACCACTTCAGTGTTTGCAGACTGTCGTTCAGTGTGATGTATAGATGGTTCCCGCTTTGTGGAACCTGATGACGGATGTTTTTTGAAGAAAGATAAATAAAAGCCACTCCTGTGTTGTTCTTATGAAGGAAGGAAAATGTTGAAAACACTTTTTATGCTCATGTCAGCAGTGATACAGTAAATAGTTTTGCACTAGAGACTGACTGTGCTCAGTGAAGGTGTTTGACCGACTGAGAGCTGTTGTATTGAATATCAGCTGCCTCTAAACATCTGTAAGTGTTAAATCTATTGCCTCTGCAGTAATACATGTTTGTAAGAGGGGCTCCTACTCTAAAACAGTTTAAGATGGTGACAAGTTGTTGTTTTTATGTATGTGGTTTTGATTATTAATCATGTTTACTATGAAAGAGTCTGTTAGCATCAGTGCCCTGAAGAAACAAATGACGCTCTAAGAAGATTATTTATATTGTGCACTTTTGATATTTGCCTTGTATAGTTATGTTTTAGACATTTAGTTGACATGCCTGTCTGTATTTAATGCTCTGCAGGCAGGGGACATGGCTGTTAGGGGCCCTGAACATGTGACCCCTTGGTCTGTCCTGTTAGTGGTTTGTCTTACATTACAACACAAAGTCAGGAAAAATACAGATCAGAGAGAAATGTCTTTGGTCTGAATACCAGAATGTAAACTGAGAGGAAACTTTTCTGCATGACTGTGCACATTTAACTTATTTTACAGTTTTACAGTGTCGCCTTCCATTCAGCACAGTGTTTGAGTTTTGATTTACCAACATGTGTCTTTGACCATTCACCAAGAGCTGGTAATTAAATTAATTTGAAAAATTTATCTAAATAAAATAAAAGATTACTGGACTGCATTGAGTCTATCTATCTATCTATCTATCTATCTATCTATCTATTTATCTATTTATCTATCTATCTATCTATCTATCTATCTATCTATCTATCTATCTATCTATCTATCTATCTATCTAATATATATATGATTTCCATGACAGCAGCATAAAGTTTGCAGTAACGTTCTGTCATATAGCCACATACAGACCGCTAGGCAGCTAACAAAAGGGAGCTACTGTCTTTCAAGTGAAAACAGTAGGTGAGATAATCATTCCTAGCCTTAGCTAAAGCTAAAACTAAATATAGCCTAACTATGGATTTTTCCCGAATGATTCTACTTTTTACTCAACATTTATTTGAGAGCTAGAGTCACTAGTTACTTTTTGGATTAAGATTTTATTTAAAAACACATGAGAAACTTATAAAGTGTAATTCATTGTTAATAATAAACCAGTGGTTCTAAACCATTTTGGCTAGTGACCCCAATGAAAACAGTGTAGCTGTAAGTCCTGGTCATGTTCCAGATGTCTGAGCTGTCACAAAAACAGAATTAGAGAAAAGTCCAGAAACATGAGAACAGATGAACAGATGAAAATGAGAAGTTTGTTTTTTCCTCTTTCTTCTCCCATTGATCATCTGGTGACCTCTCAGACACATTCATGTGTCACTATTAACAATTTAACAATGTCACGTAGAATAATAGCAGTATCATAACATCACAGTGGCCATTTGTCTGCAGAGCATCTATTTTAACTGCATGAAGCTGGACTTTTTTTTGTAATAATATCTTTACACTGTTGTATTGGTTCTTTAAGTAACACGTTAAGTATAGGATTTATATGATATAGTATAGTATAGTATGTGCTGTATATACACTGTATATGTAGTGTTGATTAGGAGGTTCAGAATGAAAAGTGAACTATCATGGGGATTGGGTCAGGATACATGGAGAGGAAAAGGCCATGAAACATCAATCCTCTGACAAAGGTTTATTCTCAAGTCTCATAAAACTATTTTTAAACGAGGAGGGGAAGAACACATGGGCTGCTGCTTCTGAAATGAAACAAAGAAAGATTGAACTAAGACAATAAATCATGTAGACTCAGATGTCCTTCTTAAGGAAATGAGGATAAAAAAAGTTCTCAGAGACTCACACGGACAAAGTATAAGAAATAAAGAGTCACATAAAGAGCTGCCACCACATGCAGAAGGTGAAAAGGGATGAATGCATGAGAGTGAAGTTTTTAAACAGCCTTGTAGTGCTCAGGCGAACTCAATCAAGTAAATGAGGGGTAGTAAGGGCGAAAACAAGAGCCAATCAGTGATGAGGAAAGGGAAGGAAGTGAGGTGGGAGACGAAGGGAAAAGGAAAGTTGATGTATATTTTCAAAGCAGCAGTAACAAGAACACACTTCTTCTAACACCCCCCCACACACACACACAGGAGGGAGGAGGAGTTACCTACGTCACGCGGGGTGCTACTTAAAAGCGTCCCACCCTCCAGTCCAGCTCAGCCCAGAAGACAAACTGAAGCCGGGACGTGTTACTGTCTGCAACTCTGATTCACCGCTGGACACTGAACAACCACACCTGGTAAGACTCACACCTATATTCTTATAATATTCTTCAAAACTCAGGGGTGAATTAATAATTAGACTAAAAGCGCTTTGTTATTTATCATAACATAAAATCAGTTCCTGTGACCCTGTTGTTTTCAGGAGCGGTTGCTCAACAGTGATTTTGTAGTCTGTTATCGTCACTGGAGTCTCTATAATGTCCTGTAATGTTCCTGTTATTGTCTGTCTTGGTTTTCTTTAGAGTTTACACTGATCATTTTCTTTTAGTATTTTTTGTAAGTGTCGTACAGCAGTATTTTCTCTGCTTCCAATCGTTGTGTAATATATTCCTGTCGCTTCCCTGTCAGAAGTATGTTACAGCCTAACTATCTGTTCACTATCAGATGATGAAAACATTGTGTAACTTCTTGCTCCGGCTGATGCAGATTTCCTGTAAAGTCACACACAGAGAGCGAGGACAACAACAGGAAACATGACAACTATAACAGAAGATCCACACAGAGCGACAATTATATAGACAGGTTAGGTGGACTGGACAAATATACTAGTAACTGCATAAACTTCAGACATAGAGCATTGTACAGTGCTGGACCACGTGTGGTGGAATGTACAGAATATGGGAATATACATTTGAAGTATGTTACTTGCACTTGTACTTTTCAGTGAATAACCAATTTTACAAATGGAATACATACATTTGCATACATAATATATGATAAGCTTGTATATGATGCATTGTTATAGACTGACCAGATGATATATAAAATAGTTCAAATGAGCTCCTCCTCCACCAGCTACAACAGGAAGATGCTATCAGTTATGATAATCTATAATAGTAAAGAGTTAATTTTCTGCACTATCATTACTACTACTTAGTACTTTTCATACTTTTTACTTTCATACATTTTGTTACTTCAGTACTTTGAATAACATTTTCAAAATAAGACTTTCACTTGCATTGAAACACTGTGGTGGTGCTCCTACTTTAAGTAAAGGATCTGAACACATCATGCACCACTGCTGACCACATGTAGTAGACATTTGCCCATCTGAGAGTTTATTAAAACATACACTACAAACAGTACATAACAATTTACACGAATAAAGCCAGTTTTCTCTGGGATAAATGACTCATATACTCTCTGTAGCATCCACCTGGACTGATGTTACCATTTAGCAGTGCTCATTTCCTCAATACCACACAGTATAAGATAACACTTGACCAGATCAGATGAACTGTAGAAATATGAATATTCTGTACAGTTTGTCTTATGTAATGTGTGGTGTTGAAGTGGTGCTGAAAAGTTTCAAACTTCCACCGTTTTTGCAGTTTCTTTTACCACAGTAAACCCAGTGACTGTTAGGAGGGAGGAGACAGGGAGAGGTTTTTATTTCCAGGCAAACACTGGCAATTACATCATGTGGCTGCAGTGAGTAATGCAGGCAGAGCAGGGCAGGCAGGTGGTTACCAAACCCTTTCTAGAAGTAGGTCGAAGTTTCTGAGAGTGGTGTGTGTGTGTGTGTGTGTGTGTGTGTGTGTGTGTGTGTGTGTGTGTGTGTGTGTGTATCTGCCTTATCTCCTCACACAAACTGTCAAACCTCTTAACTGCTCCCTTTCTGCAGGTCAGGCCACTCTGACAATAGAAGATTAGAGCTGATAACTGAAATGCTGTTATTATTATCATTAGCACAGTGGTGGCAGTGTCATTGTACTGTAGCAGCAACAGTCATATTAGCGATAACTGTAGGCTAACAGCTGCAGGAAAGTAGTATAGTTGTAGTAGCAGCAGTAGCTGAAGAAATAGCAGGAGCAATGGGAGCAAGGATGCACATCCTTAAATAAAAGTAGCAGAGCCACAGTGTAAAAATACAAATTTGCTTATTCATGATCTTGTGATCTTTCTAAACTTAAATTTAAACTTCTCAAACATGAAGAGTTGTTGCTTTCCTGTTTTCTGTGATAGACACTGAATATCTTTAGACTGCTGGTCAAACATGTGAAACTAATGATCAGATTAAGAGAAAACCATACTTAGTGCAAAACATTAAAGATGTTATTTGTAAGTTTTGCTTTTGCTACATAGCTAACATTAGCGTTAGCAGCTGTTTACTTACCAGTCTAGAAGACAAGCGAGTTCAGCAAACTTCATTCCTTTACTTACGAACAGCTGTCTCCCTATCATGTCTTTTCTTTTTCTAAAGTTAGCATGCTAACCAACAAGCTCACTTTTTGACAGAGACTCACTCTGGCCTCCAAAGTGCCCTGAACATGTAGCACTGCTCAGAGGACATATTATAACCTCCTGTCCCCTTTCCTGTGAACGCAACCATGACCAAAGCTCATGTCAGGCGACAATCACCTCCACATGGCAAGAAACCATGTTTGGCAGCAGAGAAAACTTACAAATAGCCTGTTTAAACCATGTTAACATTCTGAGTTATACTTATAATAACCCTTTTGTGTAATATTTGGCCTGTGTAGTCAGTTCTCTGCTCTGAAGCAAATGTCTTTATCCACAGGAAGAAACGTTTGTGGAGTCTCCATGAAGACCGACGTGTTTTGGATGAGCCTGTGAGAACGGGAAACCTTCACATCCAGACATTGTTTCACATTTTTTTCTGTCACAGTCAGCTCCAATAAGAAAAGAGCTCCTTCAAAACTACCATTGAACACTAAGCGACTTTAACAGAGTGGAGCCGTGTAGTGCCTTGTTCAGGGGTACATTATTAATTCTTCCCTAGCTGAGCAATTTTACAGTAGAATTTAATATAAAAAATAAAAATTAAGAATTTTTCAACTGGGATTTTTTTTTTTTTTTAATTTTTAAGTACAAATGAGAGTTTAAAGATTTTTTTGTTGTTGCATTAGGCCCTGTGTGTGTGGGGATTTCTTTTTTTCTAGCCCCTCTCCTTCCACAGGGAGGTCATCACACAGCAGTGTCTGACAAAGCTTTACCCCTTGCCCAAGAACAATACAGCAGAAGAGACACTCATCGCGGTGGTAACCGAACTGAACCCTAGACCCTTTGGGTTTCAGGATCCCACCTCATGACCTCTTTGTATGTCTTCTGACATACTTAAAACCATGCTGTACCTAAAGAAATACTTCACAGAGGGCCTCATCCAGATGGCCATCCTGCTGAGTCTCTGTGGAGTGAGGGTCGACGTGGGACTGGAGCCCTACCTGCCTCCCTCCTGGCATGAGATGATCCTGGGTCCGACCTCGGCTGTGACCCAGACGCAATTTCACAACCTCCGCAACCGCCTGGAGGACGGCCATGGCCTGCATCCCAAGAATGTGGACCTGGATGGGTATTTCACAGCACGAAGGCTGCTAGGCTGGGTCCGCTCTCTGGACAGAGTACAGGTAGGAAAACATGTAAATCTTTATCTCAACACTCCCAATCAAAGGTAATTTTAGGTGTTTCACTGTTGCTATGTAAAGCTTTTATTTAACGTAGGCTTCACAAGTCTCTCACAAATTTAGAAATGTGGTGTTTTCTGTCTTTCCTCCTCCAGAGTCTCAGGATGAAAGGAATAATTTGATATTTTGGATACTCGTCTTCTTGAGAACATTTTCATATCTGTCCGTTTAATATGAAGCTACAGCCAGCACCTGGTTAGCTTGGCTTAGCATTCAGCCTGGAAACAGGGAAACAAAATCTGCCTACCAGCACCTCTAAAGCTAATTTTTACCCTGCAGCTTTTGTATGAATTAAACAAATAAGGTATGACATATTAGTTTGTGATCGTTAGACATACTTGAATGTGAATTTTGTTACCTTTGGACAGAACCATGCTAGCTGTTTCTAGTCTTTGTGCTAAGCTAAACTAACGGGCTACTGGCTGTGGCTTCATAAGTAACATACTGACAGCAGAGTGGTATCAATCTTATATAACTTCTCTGCAGTAAACTGAATCAACACATTTTCCAAATGTTGAATTAATCCTTTAGTGACATCACCTTTGTTGGCTTCTTTCTTTTTATTTTATTAGGAATATTATATAGTATTAGGCACTTGAGAATAGTTGTTCCTTCAGTCTGTTACTGGCTCTGCTCAAAGTTAACAAACACTCTGATGGTTGTCTGGCAACCTAATGGAAATGAAAGGACTCCAGGAAGCCCTGTTGCCCCATTTCCAGTCTTTATGCTAAGCTAAGCTAATCATCTTTAGCACATAGATATAAAAATGGTAATGTTTTCATCCAAATCTCAGCGAAGAAAGCATATAAGCACATTTGCCAAAATGCTGAACTATTCCTGAAAGTAGAGATATTTGTTTTTGCCACACTTCCCTGCAGTTTGAGATGTTGTATTGAATAAAAGCTAGCAGTTTTCTCCTCCTCTCTAACTAATTATTGAATGGCCTTTGAGGACTCTAATGCATCTGCTTTCTCATGTTATTAATAACACAATTGTCTACTGATAAAAGGTTGTCATAGGTTCACATATTAAAATGTTTTAAGCTACATGTCTGTGTTTCTAAATTGTTTTCCCTCCTAGCCTTAAAGAAATGAAGCATGTGAGCTATTATAGGGACAATGAATGTAATAAGCATTTTTTCTCAATGAGAAAAACGTGCCAATTTTTAAAATGCTTCATACCTTTCTCCACAGGTTCCTCATGCAGAGCTGGAGACTTGGCTGGTCCAGAGAGAGCCAGATCCTCTCCCCATGGAGTGTCCAGACCAGCCCTCCCTGCTGGAGAGAGCTCCTGCTGCGGTAGAGAGAGAGCGACGTGATCCATCTGTGGAGCCCAGAGCTTTACATGATAATGAGGTACAGCTGTTTCATTCACACATTGTGGTTCATAACTTTTAGGATTCATGCTCGCCAATGTTCTTGTGCAACATCAGAGCGGGAGCAAATGATTGAGGATCTTTTATCATGTTAAATAGTCTTTTAGCCAAGACTAAATGACTACAACTACTAGCTCTAAGCAACAGCAGTGTACATTTTCCCTCAAATCCCACTTCTCTTTAATTTCTAGGAATTGTAAATTTTATGACTGAAACAAAACATAGATCTCATAGGATTATTATTAAGGTCTGCCATATTTCCCTTTTCAACCAGAAAGTTCTAGGAAGTCTGGTGCCTGAGGAACTGAGCTCTGAAAATAAACTAGGAACTAAATGCCAGGGATGTAGCATGTTCACTGTTTCATACAAGTTGTCCAACCACAAACCGTTCATAGCTGTTCCAACTGACGACACTGCATAGGCTGCAAAGAGAGGGGGAGTAGCAATAGCTCAAATCCTGCCCGCTTTCTCATCACCCAACACAGGGCTGATCACTGTGTGAAGTGGGCATGGACGTCAGATTGTTGGTTTTGGAAAGTTACATCTGGAAGGTGCAGGGGGGGATGGTTCCAAACTATTATTGACAAGCCAAGTTAAGTTATTGATTCTGCGAGGTCTTGAACTGAAGAACTTCTGCGTATAAACCGACACATTGAAGGGATGTGTTAAAAGGTCCAATGTCCAATATTTTTATTTCTAATTGAATGTGCTGGAGCTCAGAGCCTGAAGAAGAAAAAATGTGTAACTGTCCAAACACTTGCAGTCTGGACTGTAAATGAATGAGATGATAAAACTACAGCTATACTAGTGGCTCTGAGAGGCTGCACTGAGGCACAGCAGGGATGTGAGCTAAATGCTAATTCTTGCATGCTAACATGCTCACAGTGACAAACATAGACTATAAATAAAGATGGATGTAGCCTCCGTGGCGTCACCCACAGGTTTCTGAAGAGCAGTTTTGAAGTTCCGTGAACTGCCCCACTGTTGCCATCTTGGCAGTGCCAGACTCCACCTAACTCCAAAAATGGTCCAAGAGGAGGGGTGTATGTGGAGCCCAAACATCGGTCAATGCCGGTTTGTGGCAAGCATACGCTCACCCACCTGTCACTCAAAGCGACACACCCTCAATTCTACATATCTTTAAGTCTTAATAAAATGTAAATGGGTGAGTTATAGTTGTCATGAAGGAGGGAATTAACTGTAGAGACCAAAACTGTTTTTGTACCAGGCTGTAAACATGTTTATTTCGGCTGTAAAGTTGGACATTTTAACATGGGAGTCTGTGGGGATTGACTCACTGTTGGAGCCAGACTGTAGTGGTCATTAGAGGAACTGCAGCTGTTGGCACTTTGACATTTAACTTGAAACCACGTGTGTAGGGTGGAGTGAGAAATGAAAAGTCAGGGGATCTCCAAAGTCATCAGACTTCATCATGGTACTAAAATAAGTAGTTGCTTCTAGTTGAAATTAGTTTCCAAAGCCACACAACAGTCTGTTTGTCATACACTAAAATACACACACACACACATGATGCCACAGAGGTATAAAGGTTTATGAATAAACTGAAGATTTTACTAATTATTCATTTGTAAAATGTAAATGTAACAGTTAGCATTGTGGAGAAGTGTGCTGTTTTTGACAAGAGTGTAATGTCATGTGAGATGATGAGTCAGAGTCAGATGAGTCATCAGAAAACCTGACCTCACCACTGATGACCTCATCAAGGAAATAAAGCATTAGAGTCAGTACAGCTGATCAAACCTGCTGGAGAGAACACACCTTTTAAATAAACACACAGCAGCCGGCGAGTCCAGGACCTTTAAAATAATTCATTGTGCTTGTACTTCAGTAACTTAGTTATTGGTGGTTGTCAGTAGCAACCTCATTTGTTAAGCATTATGTGAACAGGAAAGAACAAGAAGAGTTTCACACATACTCTTACTGTGCGTAAGTCCAAATGGAGTTAGTACAAATGATCTTTTTAAAGCTGCACCAATTAACATTTTCATATTAATAATGGGACTAATAACTGTGTGATATGTGAACATGTTGAATAGAATAATCATCCAACTCTGCACTTACTATATGAACTTGGCACGACAGTGGATTATTCTCTGCTTTATGATGCCTCTGCTGCCCGGAAACTCCTGTTGGACGAGTCAGCATGACGTCCTGTTTTACACACACTGTTGTCTCTTCACTCACATGTTGGTGATGTCTCAGGCCCAGGTACACCAGAGGACTGTGGTGAACTGAGGCTCATAAGACAGTGAAAGAGAAGAAACAAACATGCCTGGAGAGGAGGCATGGGGGAACGGCTCCAAAGACATGGCTGCAGATTCCCTTTACCTGTCAACACGCTATCCAGTGTGTGCTCAGAAAGCAAAAATAAACCTGATGAACACATGAACACACTGAATGTGACAGGGAATTCAGGCAGAGCAGTCTCATCTGTCTTACAGAGACTTGGCTCAAAGATCACACACAGCTACAAAGAGGCTACAGAACAATCAGATCGACGGAGATGAACATAGATCTGCAAAAATCAATAGGACAAAACAGTTCGGCTTACACAAGCAAGTGAGCACCCTGGACTGTCTCTTTTAGACCTTTCTATCATCTGTGAGAGTTTGGACAAATCCCTCTTATTCTCACTAATGATGTTGCAGCAGAGAGACTGATCCCCTCTCTTGTTCTGCAGTTCAACCTGTTTTTATTCTCCTACAATTTAATATGTATAACTTATATGGATTTTTACCAACCTTTCAGCAAAATGTAGACTGTCCAGCTCACCTTACCCGCACTCTTGATCGTTGCTTTGGAAACATCCCTTTATACCTCTAAGGCTGTTTGCAGAACGGCCCCCTGGGAGATCAGACCCTTTGCCTAAGTACAAGGCACCAGTGAAATGAGTGAGGCCTGTCACCAAAGTAGTAGTAGTAAGTGTTTTTTGAGGAATGAAAAGAGAAAATGTAGTGTAAGACAAAAACTGTGAGAATCTTCCCAATCAACAGGACTCGGGTGTTAAAAGAACTGAGAGGATGTCTTAATGAACGTTACCTATTGCAGCGGTGACACTGAATTATTCCCTGAGGAAAGGAGACAAGACTAAAGAAATGATTGTTTGAGCCAAGCAGATTTAAAAACGGAGCTTGTTGTATCTAATGGCTTGGTGCAGTCTTGGTCTGCAATTGAACTTCTCTGAAAATACAAATTATTATATTTTTAAGAACTACACACAATAGCTTCATCTTCTTAGTACATAACAGTTTTCTGAGTGAGTCAGTCATTCGGTGCAGATCCCTGAGAGTGCTTTAACGTTCCACTTGACTTCACGGTTTGGTCATTTGAATTGCAGGCTGAGGAATAAGCTTCCTAGAATAGTTGACGTTGCTAGCTACATAATTTGGAGGCCCCAGGTGAAGCTGAATGAGCTGTGTACTGCCAGGACAAGAGATAAAGCTCTAAACGCCCCAACAGATAGGTGTCATCCTTTATTTTCTCAGATTGAGATTCTTAACCCTGATATCTCGTTCACACGTGTTTTATTTGGTTCTTATTTTAATTGTTCCCTTTTCTGCTGTTTTTTATGTTATTGTGAGACAAAGACAATTTTCCAGAAATTCTATTCTACTCTACTCTGCCACAAATCTCCCCTTTAAGTCAAATAACATATGGGCTACAGTAGGTAATGTAAGTGATCTGGATGGCATCGCTGACTTCATGTTCCTGCTTGCATGAACTATGAGCTCCATTTATTAATGGCCACACCTCAGACATGTCTGGTCAAGCTTTGACCTATAAAACAAATTCAAGCACATACATTCACATTTGTTTACAGGACTGCTGCTCTAGTTATAAAAGACTGTCAGATCTTTCAGTTCAGATACTGACATGTTGAAAATAAACTGTAGAACTCATCATGTACGCAGGGACTGTAAGCCTCAGGCTTACAGTCTACAGACTGAAGCAGGAGTTATACTTTGGTGTCTAGGATTTAAGCAGGAATTATTATTCCAAGAAGATCCATGCAAATATTTCTGCAGGTCTTTACACTGTTGTTAATTCCAGAGGCCACAATGATCCATCATCTTTAACAACAGCCAAATAAACACGTTCCATCACTTCATGTAGAATCACACACACTAAACTGTGACTGCATAACATGCACGCAGACACAACACAGGTTTGGACCATATATAAATAACCCAGATACTGGCCTACGTGTTGAGTCTGGACACACACACACACACACACACACACACACACACACACACACACACACACACAGTCATGTATCATGCAGGCAGTGTCAAGCAGAGCAACAGGCGGCAATTTACTGTCTGTGTTTACAGAAGAGTCACTATTCTTAGTTTAGACAGAGTTGGTGAAAGTTTTTGGTTCATGTCAGCAACATTATATATAAATATACGGGCATTAATAAAGCAGATGGGGGGGAATTCATCCACATATTTTTTAGATCATTTTGTGTTTTAGTTTCTTCAGGTCTAAACATGTTAAAGGAATTATTTTCCATCTTGGTAAATACACTTTTATACTGTGTGGTAGAGTTAGATGTTGACATTGCTAACACTCTTATGTCTGTATGTTAAATATGAAGCTACAGCCAGCAGCTGGTTAGCTTAAAGACTAAAGATTCATTACTTTTAGCTGTTTATTTTGCCTGCTACGCTCGCTTGCTAATTACTTTTCATAGCTCTCAGTTGCAGCTGATGGTGTTCAGGTGTTGTAAGTGGCTCTGGTTGGTGAGAGCTGTGTCCTGTGCAGTCACCTCATCACAGCTTGGGCTGATTATTGTGACAATAACTACACCAAAGATTAGACTTAGACCAACTTGTTATCCTATTTGTGTGTTCATTTTCCTTCGAAACACAACAGTTTTTTTTTTGTTTTTTTTTAACCAAATTATAATTTCAGATTCTCAGAATTAGTTGAGCTTCTCCAAAGTCTTTTCATGTACCCCCCCTGTGGTACATGCACCCCTGGTTGCTCTACTGTAACTATGAAATCTAGGACTAAAAAAACAAAAAATATATATTTTCTGTTGTTTAAATCAGTGTATTTCATTCCACATGATTAGTTTTTCCCCATTGTTATGTTTCCAATCCCTTTAATATGAATTCTGACAGTGTTTAAGTGTTTAGTACATTCATGCACCATGATGACAGAAACTTTCAAATTAGAATTTGTATTAACCAGTTGTCTCGGGCTCCCATTCAATTCCAAATAGTACTGACAACTGGAGACCAGTTTGTCACTTTGAATGTGAAGCTACTGGAGCTGACAGAATTGATTAATTAATTGATTGATTAGTTGATTGACAGAAGAGTATGCTGCTTTTTTACTCTTCTGTGGTAGGAAACTGAATATTTTGGACTTTTCCAGACAAAAGCATATTGATGATGTCATCTTTGGCCCTTGGGAGTTGTGCAGCTCTTTCCACTGTTATGTCACGTTTTAGAGACAATAAGAGCTTAAAGCTTAGAACAGTATTTTTCTAATATTTGTTCTGAAAAAGGACAAAGACAAAGAAAAATGGAAGATATGTCCTAAAGTTCTGAAAGGAGAAAAAGCATATTCTGTGATGGTGAGCAGAGAAGAAACATATGATCTTAATGGGAATGAACACACACACACACACACACACACACACACACATACATACATACATACACATACACCCACACACACAAACAAATACACCCTCACAGGACTTTACAGATTTGACATAGCACATAGAGATCTAAGTACATGGCGGACTACCACCCTCTCTCACCCTCCAACTGAAAGTGAATATAACAGTGTTTTTGAATTCCCCTCATGTATCAAATGGCACTCATACACACAAACACACATACAGTCACACACATGCACAAAACACTGAACTAGCTTCCTCCTGGCCTTGTGACCGACTGGCTTGTTTTGAAACCTGATCACTGGCCCACTGCGTCCTGACACACATTTACATTCTTCAGTTTTGCAATCCCCTCCTGTTTACTGCATCTACACACACACACACACACACACACACACACACACACACACAGAGATGCAAAGAGGCAGAAAGCATGCATGTAAACAAATGTGCACAAATGCATGAGGTGCAAACGTGTGCTTCCATATCCAGCAGAGGTACAGGAAAGGTAAACGGGAAATCATGCTTGTGCCAAGAGGTATCAGCTTCATACAGTGGCAGTAAAATAAATCTGATCTTCATCTACGTCACAAGTTTATACAAACACAGTGTCCCTGAGCTTATATCACACAAACAGTTGTAATAGTTTGTGTCTTTGTTGCACAGTGTTGGTGGAAAAAGTAAGCAGACCCTTGGATTTAATAACTGATCGAACCTCCTTTGCCACGAATAGAGCTGAAACAAGCTCTTAGGATGTCTGTTGTGAGCGGCTCCCTTCAGCTCATTCCACAGCTTCTCTCCTGGATGAAGGTCTGACTGGGCCACTGCAGATGGTGGATTTTCATTGTCTAGTAGATTTACTTCTCCTGAGCTTCAGCAGGTGGACAGACACCCAGACATTATTCTGTAGAGACCTTGATAAACTTGAGAATAAATTTTCCCCTCCATGATGTGGAGCTGTCCGGGTCCAGGGGCAGCAAATCTGCCCCAGATCATGATGCTCCCTCCACTGTACCTCATTGCTGGGATGATGCTTTCAAGTTATGTGTTCCTCCCAAACAATTCAACCTCAGTTTCATCAGTCCACAAAACATTTTCCCAGAAGCATTGTGGAGAGTCAAGGTGCTCTTTGGTGAACTTCAGGAACACAGATATTTTTGGAGCGCAGCAGCTTCCTCTGTTGTATCCTGCCATGGACACCATGGTTCATACAACCACGTACCATCATTTAGTTTTTTTGGTAAACTCATGAACCATAGATTATTTCTAGCTCCAATGATTCTTTTAAGTCTTTAGCTGTTACTCTGGGCTTCTTTTTTTTTTTACCTCACTGATTATCCTACATTGAGCTTTTGGAGACATCTTAGCTTAGACGCCTGCACTTCGAGGGTGAGTATCCACAGAACTGAATCATCTCCATTTAAAGACAGTTTGTCTAACTGAGGTTCGATGACTACTGACTCCAGTTAGCTTTTATTCACTGCGATTAGCTGAGAACTTCACATACTTTTTCCAGCTATACTATAAATGTTTGAATGACGTTTCAATACGGACAAGATCAATACAACGATTTGTGTTATTAGTTAAAATATATTGTGTTTGTTCATTATTGTAACTCGGATGAAGGTCTAACCATGATTTAAGACAGAATTATACATGAACACAAAGGCTTCACTTACTTTTGTAATTTGCCACTCTAGATGAGACATGAAGTGAATGTTGAAATGTACAGTGTGTAATAATGGACCTGAACATATGTAGTTTTGCTCACTGCTGTGTTATTGGAAAAATAATCCTAGATAGACTGATAGGAATCGGCTGTGCATGTGGAACATTTATACAAGTTAATACCAGGTCTGAACAGGACTGTAGATCCGCACCCATGTCATCATGGCAGTGTACTTAAGCCATCAGAGCTCTACTCACTCTTTTCACCTGAAAGCTTCGCTGTCATTGGCTCTTCCTGCTGCTGTTCATATAGTGTTTCAAAGTCCTCACCAGGCTCCGTGCCCATGGTCCTCTATGGGGGGTAAGTTAGTATCACCACTCCTCACTCCCTGCTGTGCTGAGCTTGATGCTTGTTGTGGGGAGTGACGAGGTCAGAGCTTAGAGGCCAGATATCAAAGCTCTACGTATTCGACATTCACATATCATCTGTTCTGTTTGAGCTGGCTGCGGGCTGGCTCAGACCGCCGCTACAATCACAGAGCACACTACTGTCACTGCAAGTAACTCTCACACACTCTTTTAATCAGTGTTGGTTTAGTTGAGCCGCCATCTGTATCCCTACGACCTCTTTTGCTCACCTGAAAATTATTCAGGTAATTTAATGAAATTAGTATTCTAATAAATAATATATTATATTATAGGACAGTTGGTGTTCATCATCTCATAAACATCAGAGTTCAAGTTGTATATGAAGTTTGAGTTTGGGTCATTAGTCAGTAGCAACACTTTCATGTGTCGAGATCGATCAGTGTCAAGAAACTGGGTCAATACTATTTGTGATTCTTTGAGACTTGTATCATACTCTTTTTTTTCCCCATAATATTCATGTTGTGCACTGCAGTCTGTACTTGTATAGTTTGGGTTCTTTTGGCTCATTTTCTGCCCTCATGTAATTTGCATGGCACCTTTTAGTCCTGGAGCCCATCTGACGGTTTCTTCCACATGTGCTGTTTTTAGGAGGTAGTGTACACCTGCTCAAGGGGCGTGTCTTTGTTTTTACATAATCAAGAATCAGTGATGGTAAATGTCAAAGTCAGTAAAGACTTCTCAACGACTCATCATCCAATCCTTGTCAAGTTACGTAGGGTGGCGCCTGAGAGTCAACTGTCCTGAGCTTCCACAGTTTCATGACATGACTTCATGACTAATGTGTCATTTCTCTACATTTAAGTACTTTTTGGACTCTTGCAGATAAAGGTAAAATGCTATAATGATTTTTTTTGTGGGGAATCAGTGGGATTATTAAGGATTATTAGTCTGATAAATTTGGCATTCAGTTGCATTCTTAATATGTGTATTGGGAGAGTGGCATAGACTCTGTACTGTATGTTACATACAGCTACATACTACATACGTGTCCTTACTTGCCAGCTGCTGCGAGTCCCTGGGTTTGTCTGTAAACCCCCAGCCATGTCAGAAGAAGGTTAAAGCTATTCTAAGCCTGGCTGTCTGTCTCTGGGTAAAATTGGAGCCTTTACGTTCTTTACATACAGACTGGTGATACCGAAGACATAACTACAGTGTTGTACACTCTAGTAGTTAGCGTGGTGGCGTGTTACTCTTTCATAATTTTTTATGTTAGATCTCGGTGTCATTCCTTTGGTTGCCTTGAAGGCTGAATGGAATTACAATAAGACTAAAAGGTACCTGACCAAAACCAATCATACAAAAAAACAATTACTGCACCTCTAAATGAGGTTCCATATTGTAGTGGTTATTACTTCTGCTTTACATGCAGAATGTCCTGGATTTAGGACCCAGTGGAATCAATGCTTTAGGAGCTGGCTTGTCTCCAGAGCTTGTTCAGTAGTGAACATAATATGTTAACCCACTGTTAAGGCGCAGTGGTGTCTCTTACCTGATCATTTGTCATTTTTGTCTCTGCAACCAGGAAGGAACACCAGGACGCGGTGCTCTAAATGAGAGGGGACAAGAAGAGGAGGATGAAGAGGACAACCTGGCCAGGATGCAGCAGTTTTACAGTTGGACAGAGGGAGGAGGACGACCAGGAGGTTCCTACGGCCGTACTAACAGAGAACTGACTCGGAATGAAGAAGACCCGGTAAGTAACGTTTATTTTAATGGCACAGTGACAATAAAATTACACATTATTTATTTTTGTGCTTTCTACTTTGAAGATAATAAAATTTTGACAAATATTCAGCTGGAGCTAGCAGCTGGTTACTGTAGATTTACATAAAAAAACTGGAAACAGAACTGGCTGTGTCAGAAAGTACTAAAAATCAACAAAATACCATCTCGCAAACTCACTAATTCACATGTGATATCTTATTTGTTTAATCTCTACAAATGCAAAAGTGTAAAAATGAAATTTGGCTGTTTTATGGGGAATTACAGTACCAGTCAAAACACACTTTCCCATTCAAATGAAATGACTGGTACTGTGTGTGCCCCAAAACTTTCTGGCAGGGATCAGTTGCCAGACACTCACTAATTTGTCACTAATTTGACATATCAGGTTAAAGGTCTCAGTTTGCTTGAAATGAACCAGGTCATCGTCGCCTCTCTCTAGCTGCATCTCACCTGCTCCTCAAGCTCTGTCCAAAAGTGTAACAGCATCCTTAACTCATCTTTATAGTGACGATGCAGTGTGTGAAGACTTCAAAGAGAGCTTGAGAGAAGTTCAAACCCTGACTACTTGTACATCTCTGCACACACACAGTTGTGCATGGTAAATAAATTCAGACTTCGGAAAGGGGGTTTCAGATGCTGTTAGACAATCTGACGAGCACTATGGTTTAAGCACACTGAGGCCTTAAGTGTTGTAGACAGAAGTGTTGTGTTGTTTGTCCTTCATGAGCAAGAGCAAGAATGCAAAGTAGTCACCTGGTTATATTATATGAAAACATTAGCTAATGGTTGCGAGGAATGGCAACAGGAAGAAGTTAGTGAACATCACTTTAACTGAATGAGCATATCAGCCTAAGCTGTTTGTAGTAGACCATTAGCAATGCAAAGTTGTAGAGTCTGAGTTGCTGACCGGACTATTAACCAAAATTTCTCACAACCAGTAGGCTATCTACTTTTTTTTGACATACGTATATGCGTATATGTTTAAAGTTGTGTGTGTGTTAGCTTAGGTGATCAGAGCGTCTTTCATGCTTGAAATCAGAGCCTGATGCTTCATCTTTAAACGCTGGACCAGAGCCAGCTCAGCAGAATAAGAAATCATGAATGACACACTATAGCAGCTGCACCCCAGGGTGCATGTTACACCAAGAGTGTGCTTTCTAACACGTATAGCTATGCATGTGTGCGTAACAGATGAAGATGAAATAACTGCGGACCATTAGCTTATTTCAGTTCACCTTCTGACATATTTCATAGCGGCATTAAAAATTATCAAACGTGGGTCGCGTAAGTCGCATCACTGTCTCTTGTTTTTAGGGCAGATCTGCTACCCAGGATCCACTTTTCTCACATACCACTCCTGGTCAAAGGTCAGAGGTGAGACGTGTCTGATTTGTGTAAGGATCCAGTGAAGATGGAAAGAGTAGACAGACATTTCTTAGAATGAAATTGAAGAAAGAAAGCCGTGAGAGAGAGAGAGAGAGAGAGAGAGAGAGAGAGAGAGAGAGAGAGAGAAGAGAGAAGAAGAGAGAGAGAGAGAGAGAGAGAGAGAGAGAGAGAGAGAGAGAGATTGATTTTGACAAATGCATGAATTTTTTAGAAGCCATCCCGCTCATGCCACCACATGTGGGTCACACTGAAACTACTTCTTGGTAAAGGGACATTCCCTAGAGGAAGCTTCTGGATAACAGCCAAACACTTACCAATAATGTTCACAGCTGGTCTTAATCTGATTGTGATGGGAAAGTGTTTTGTCATCATTAAATGTTAAACAATTAAACAGAAATGACTCCTCTAGAGATCCAGCATTTGTATCAGAATTTAACTTTTATACTAACAAGAAGAAGAACAGGTTTCAAAGTAGCCCCATTCCCATTCTAGCAGCATGACTCGAGAGATGGCAATAGATAGATAGATAGAAATTCATGTCCATTAGCTCATATTTGGTAATAATAACAACAACAAAATTAATAATAATTATAACAATAATAATAAAAAACAGTTGATAATAAATAAACAATAATAATAAGATTAGTCCACTTCCTTTGGCTGATGGGAGTGGGAACAAAGGATCTCCTGAACCTCTCTGTTCTGCAGCGCAGTGAGATGAGACATTTGCTGCACCTTTAGCTGCTTCTCTGTCCTGCCAGAATGTTGTGGAGAGGATGGTTGGTATTGTCCAAGATGGCCTCCATCTCACATTGCATGCATCTCTCCACAACAGTCCTGAGTGAGTCCAGACTCCTGCCAAGCACAGACCCAGCCTTTTTAACCAGCTTGTCCAGTCTCCTTGTGTTCATGTGGGACATGCTGCCGGCCCAGCAGACTGCAGCATAAAAGAGTACACTGGTCACCAATGTCACAATGGCAGTGAGTTTATGTGGGCCACTATTTTGGACCCAACTAAAATATCTCTTCAACTATTGAATGGATTGCAATGAAATTTGATACATACAGTATATTCAAGATCCTCAGAGGATGGATCTTTATAACTGTAGTTATCCCCCAACTCTCCCTGTAGCACCTTCCTCAGGTTGACATTTGTGGTTTTGAATGAAATGTCTCATTAACTACTGGATGGATTGCCATTAATTTGATAACCGACATCATGTTCCCCACAGGATGAATAGGGACACGATTAACAGCATACAGCCATGCTGTAAACCTCACTAAAGGAAAGGGATCACCGCCATCATTAGGATTCATCCTCTATGCTAAATATCATGGTTATTCATTTAATAGTTCTTGAGATATTTCACAAAAAGCCAAAATTATCAACCTGCTAGTGGCACTAGAGAGAGAGTCAGGGGATCACCAAGTTCAGTAGGATTGACCCTCTGGACCACACATTTCTGTTCAGAATTCCAATCTATTCACAGTAGTTGAGCTATTTTAGTCTGGAGCGATGGACTGCCCAACCGATAGACAGACCAATAGTGCCATCCTCTGAGCCATGCTGCTAGCATGCCAAATAAAAACTGAAACCAGTGTCTTTATTGTAGCCTTTTCTCTCTAAACCTCCCTGTCTGTTTATTTCTCCTCTCTCCCTATTTTCAGACTTCTTTCTCCTTCGAGGAGTGTTTGAGGCTGTTGGATGAAACCTTTCCATTTACAGAGGAACAAGAGGTATTACCATAGCCTTAAGTTCTCTTGTGTCCTCCTTTGAACTTTAACAGTACTTAAAATGGTCGTTCTTTCTTGTCGCTCAGTTAAGTGATGTTGGCAGTAGAAGTGGAGAGCTGGAACGTCACCCACCAGGCAGAAATCCCCTGCTGTCCCCCATCATCCTCTCTAATAACCCCTCTTTGGACCTGGAGCTCTGCTGGCAGGACCTATTCGCTATCATGGAACCTGAGGTAACTGGGAGGATGAAAGTAGATGAAATCCCATTTAGCAAAAAAGAATAAGATGCTGAGATGAATAAGCCAAGATGCAGTGAATTTAGATCAGTTTTGTATCCTTCCTCTCCAGAACACAGATGTTGATGATGACATGATGACATCATTTGACCACGCCCCAGATTCAAGACCATCTGGGACCCCTTGGGGTGTTGGGTCTGCAGCTCTGCACCAAAACTGTAACAGCCTTGACAACGGCATAACAGACGTTGATCAGGAGGTCCCTCTAATGGAGACTCCAGTGCAGCACGGTAATTCAATTCAAAAGTTGAAGTTTGGTGTAAGAATTCATGGCCAGTATTCTTACACTTCAAAAACTCAACAATTGAGCTTAATGATTGATTCATGACAACAAAATTGTCAAACTAACTTGTTTCTGAAGCTGTTGACCACACTCATAGCCTTCCTCAATGGATGGAGTTGATCATTTGTCATTTGAAGCTGGCTTAGTCATCATCACTTCACCACCAAAATTCTGTACATTGGCCATGTGATAAGATCGAAACTATTTTCATAACAAATGAGACTCCATTTACTGAACAACCACAAGGTGTGGTTGAAAACTTATAATAATGATAATATAATAATATAATGTAATATATCTTTAAGAGTAAGCTAAACTTTGTGTTGAGATTTTTTTTTATCAACGTCTTCAAAAATGATCCCAAGTGACCCCTTGGAAAATAGACAGTAAACAATCTTGTTTTTCTTATTTTCTGAATTTTCCATTAATGAATATACCAAAAGTGCTGTTGCATTTCCAAAATTCTTCATACTTTTCAACAGTGCCCTTCCTTTCTCTCTAGGTTTGTTGCAGTCTCCAAGCCAGTCAGTGCTAGAGCCAGCCCTGCTTCCCCTCATCCCCAGTGCAGAGTTGGATGACCACAGTTCAGCCTTAAACACAAGGGACATTTTGAAAAACTCAAACATGAATACCTTGCACAGCCCTCCAGATCACATGGATCTCTTGGGAGAGGATCCTTCAGAAGATTTCTGCATGGGACAAAATGCTGAAGATAACTCAAGTACCCTAAACATAAACCTGCTGGCACAAGATATTGTAGATAACATGGAAGCCAGTCCGGGTTTACAGTACGATCTCTACCCTGAAGACACGGCTAGCTTTGATGTTAATTTTCATTTGCGTGACTTAACACCTTCTAGTTCTGCCGCATCTCTGGGGGGTAATAATATGACCGAAGACCTTCTGACATCTCCCTCCAGTGTCTTTCTGGTTGACAAGGAGGATGTTGGGGATGACGATGGTCTCCCTAGCCCACTTAGTGACCTCCTAGTGGATGCTGCCATCTTAGATGAGATGAAATTGTTTGACATGGCTCTGGAGGAAGGATTCAGTCCGGAGATGGCAGCCAGGCTTGAAGAGGAGGGCTACCTGGACTGTGAAGTAGCCAAACGGGACACTGGCAGAGATGATGACCACTCAGTCTCAGTCACAGAAGATCCACGTGAACCAAGAAGCCATCAACAAGGTAATTAAATACGTATTTTTAATATAAGTATATATATAAGTATTTTTCTACATCTGTGTACCTTCTTTTTCAAGAGCACACTAATGCTAAATTCAAGTCCTTACTATAAAACTGTAGAACTTACCTTGACTTTTCATCTTCCCTTCTCCTAGATGGTGAGGAGGAGGCAGATTCCGACTCTGGTCTTTCCCTGGACTTCAGCCACAGCCCTGCTTCTCCAACTGCCTCAGAGACCTCTTATTATTCCTCTTCTTCCTCCTCTTCATCAACCACCTCTTCATCTTGTGTGTCAGCTGTGGAAAGTCCATACTACGAAGATGAAGATGAAGATGCTGAGGAAGGGTTAGTTAGTTCGGACATGGAAGTGGAGGTGACAATAAAACAGGAGGAGCTGGAAGAGGAGGAGATGGGAGCAGTAGGAGGAGGGTTTCCTGAAAATGTTAAACTTTTTTCTGCCAACTATGGTGATCGCAAACTGTTGAATGGCTTTCCGTGGCTGGAGCATATCGGCCATGATCACACGTACAACCAGCCCTGGTCCTCCACCTCCCCTCCATCCCTGGGAAAGATGCCCACCAAACACACCAAATCCTCCCAGCCACATCACAACCGCAGGCATTACCACTACTCCTCCTCCAGACACATCTCTGAGACCAAAATGTGGAGCAGAGATGAACGACGTGCACGTGCCTTGAAGATCCCTTTTTCCAATGAGCTGATTGTAAATCTGCCAGTAGACGAGTTTAATGACTTACTGACCAGTTATCAGCTAGGCGAGGATCAGCTTGCCCTCATCAGGGACATACGACGCCGTGGTAAGAACAAGATAGCTGCCCAGAACTGCAGGAAGAGGAAGATGGGTGTACTGCTGGGACTGGAGGATGAAGTGTCTGGTTTGAGGCGCCACCGTTTGCGGCTGCTTCGAGAGAAACAAGACGCCCTGAGGAATCTGCAGGAAATGAAACGTCGACTGAACACCTTGTACCAGGAAGTCTTTTCCCGGCTAACGGATGAGGACGGAAGGCCACTGGATGCTACAGAGTACATGCTTAATTTCGGGGACAATGATAGTGTTGTGGTGGCTTCGCGCGAACAAGAGGCATGGCTGCCACAGACAGGAGAAAAAACAAGCAAGAAACAGAGAAATAAAAAGAAGTGAGGAGGTGGACAAGCCAGGAATATTCTCACAGGAGTTTTTTTGGGCATTATAAAATGCAAGGAGAGTAAAGAGATTCCTTAAGAGGAATGATGCAGTTGTCGATGAAGGAACACAGGAATTCTTTATCTGGTGTCAAAGGAAGATTTTAAAAAATACCATTAAATCCTCAAACACCCAAACAGATATCTCGGATGGTGATGTTTTTTAAAAGAATTGGTGGATGGCTGGAGAGGAAGTCAAGACAGAAGAAAAAGGAGTTCCCTGAAAGGAATTATTAACCTGATTATGTTGATGATAGGACAACCTTTACTCCAGGATGTGTTGCTCTCCATTCTTCACTATAAACATTTTCTACACTGGGAAAGGACTTGAATCCAACTCTTATGTTTACATAACACTGAGGTAAATCTAGGCCGCTAAAACAACAGTCGATAGAGGACTTTGGACCAGAATTTAATGAAGTCTTCTATGCAAAATCCTGCTCTCAGTTGCCAAAGAGACTTGAAAATATTAAAGAAGCCATCAGGCTGGTCCCTGACTGTCGGCTAATTTAGCCAATCATAGACACTACAGTGACTGAGCCACAAAAGAAAGGTTGCTGGTGCCAGTTAACTGACTTAGAAAAATAGTTGAAAAATGTAACATTTTGTCTATATAAGCTATATCACAATGTGGCATCACTTGTTAGTAGAATATAATTTTGGTGTCCTCAGAGTATTTGTTAGTAATAATAAAAAGTAAAATCAAAATAAAGCCAGTGTTATAAGTCATGGTGGATATATGGTCTTTGAGAAAGATGACCAGATGATGATATGTCATCTTCCATCATGTGACACGGAAAGTGATTGGAGATGGGAGAAAGAATATGAAGAATTTGGTGGACAAGGAGCCTGGAGCTTCACCAGTTTTCACACCTGTGCATACCTGATCACTCATTAAAGAAAGTGGGCTGTTGGATTGTTGAAGCCACACCGTCCCAACACCACAGACTGAACTGACTGAAACAAACAATTTGTTATACACTGATGAACTGACTGAGGAATTACTTTTTCCCCCCGTGTACTAAAAGGATGCATGATAGCATGTGGATTTCAACTGTGCCTTTTAATATGTTTTTATGTTTTTATGTTTTACAACACACCTATTTGTCTGTGAGGCTGCAAAAATCCTATTGTCTAGTTCAAACAAGATGGTGGTAATCTGTGTTTCAACCGTAGCTGAAGTTGAAGCTGAAATTCAAAACAGGACTAAAGCCTGCTGTCACTCTTGGCAGGTCTGAAACACATGGGATAAATATAGACAACAGTGGAGTTAAGTCGTTAAGCTATTAATGTTCAAAGATTGATGGGTATGGAAGTGTAAGTCAGATGCCACAAATACACATTGAACTGACTCAGTAAAACTGTCAGATTTGAACAGACTGATAAATTCAAATTCTAACATTTCTCAAAAGTGAAGGCAAGTTTGTGTTTGAGTTGTTTTAAGTTAGCATGTCACCCTCTGGTGGTTGTGCAGAAAGAGAACGGCATAGAGATTCTGATGAAATTATTACTGCAAAGGAAATGGCAACAAAGTTTACCTAAATGTAGTGTTCTATATTGTGGTTGGGAAAGACGTCTATTCAAAGGTAGTAGGGGAAGTCATGTTACTAATAATAGTAAATTTAGTTTCTCAGGGATTAGCATAGTCAGAAGAACATGCTAATAAATACTTTTACTCCATGTGTAGTCAGAACACATTCAGTTTTTAATACAGTAACTCAGTGTTTGTTTGTTTGTTGTTGGGTTTTTTTTAAGCAGTAGTAGTAGTGGTAGTAGGTGAACAGTACTTGTACTAAAAAAAAACAAAAAAAACTGCTGTACTACCTGTGCCCCTTGTATAGCGAAGACATGCAGTGGAATTAAATGGGTTATACCAAAATCCCATCTTATATCCTGCAGACGTGTCTGTCACTACCACTGATGGAACAAGCCTCTATTTGTTGTTGTGGTTGTTAAGTGTTTACTTTTTATAAATGCCCATTTGTGCTTGTTGGTATTCAAAAATTTCTCAAACCTCATCTTTTCTATTATTAAAAACGTCTTTGGGTGTTAGTTGAGTTGCCTCTCTGGTGTTTAATAGCAGAAAGCACGGCTATCAGATGTGGCTATTTGTTCATTTTAACTGGGTCTGTCTGTATAAACTGAGCCTTAGCCTACCTTAGCCTACCTTAGCCATTATGGGTATTGTAGGGACAGATCACAGGTTTTGGCTGTACTCAGAAAAATAGAGTACATTCTGGGTTGTAAACATTCAGGTTATGTTCGAGACTTATACCATGTTGATGCCAACTATAAAGGTGGTTTTTAATAATGTGATACTTGTTTTGAAAACTCATTTTGTCAATACAGAAACGGACCCACTGGCAACACAAAATAAAGGCCAACATTGGTGTTGACTATCTCACAAAGCTCTCATAGCTGTGGAGATTTTATCTTCCCCACTGTGTACCATTCAAAACAAAAATTACACCACAGTACAAACAGTTATGAAAACGAAAAACCTTTATTGTCCAAAACAGACAATCAAAGGAAGATCAGCAATGACAGTGACATTCCAAGGAAAACCAATATACAAGCAACAAGACAACACAAGCTAATACGCTAAATACAGAGAAAAGTTTCTGAGACAAGATAGAAAATCTAACCAGGAGACCCGGGTACAGCTAATTCAATCCCTTCCTGCCAATGGAGAAGTGTGACGAAGGGCAGTTGAGGTTTCAGTCATAATACTGACGTACACAGTGAAGAAACTCGAGCGTCCCACAGGCCAGAAAAAACAGACAAGAAGAAAGGGTAGGATTAGACCTGGGCTAGAGATGCTTAACAACAGCGTAGGCAATTATCACAGCTAGCTTAGCGTCAGATGTTTGACTGCAAATGCTAAAAACTGTATTTACAGCTGAGCCAAAAAGCAAAAATTATTCTCACGTACTGACCTGTAATTCAGCCTCAGAGGTACTGTGAGAATTTTGATATGCTTACACACTCTGTGGTCGCTTGTTGGGGCTGTGAACACGTCTTCCATCATGTATTACCAAGGGTTAGAGCTCATTAAAATATTAATCAAATTCTGTGGAAAAAGGGTAAATATTTAAAAATAGCTGTCGAAGGGTGGTGACACGAGGCGGGCGAAGCGGAAAAGACCACAAATGTCCACTGGGAATAGAAAAATATAATTAAGGAAAAATATTTTCAGAGTGAAATTCTCTCTTCAAGATCGGTTCTCAAAGCAGCAGCAGGCCACCCGAAGCAAACAGTTCAGAGACAGGGGATTTGAACTAGCTAACCCGGGTCCGCTAACAGAGGAAGCTACAATATTAGCTTTAATACAGTATACCTGGAAATAAGCACAGCCGGGCTACATTCAACACATAGAACGCTGGAAAATGTTAGGATACGCAGGAAAACACCAGAGAAAAGACCTCTCATATAAAGTGATTATGTTAATCATGCTGAAGTTACAGTACTAATCTATTTTATTTTTTGCAAATATCAAAATGTGTGTTGAACACAGGACGGTCTGCAAGCAAGAGGAACCATATGGACTACTAAAAAAAAAATGTGCTGAACCATCATGTCTTGAGTGTTGCCCGGCCGGTGCAAGCTAAAATAATACAGCCTAGAAAACACACGTGCCGATGTGTGTGTGTGAAGGTTAAAAACAAGGATTTGGAAATGAATTTTATTTAACATACTTTCAATCATCTCCAGTAGCAGTAAAACCCAGTTGTGTCTGTCATGGAGCACATGTCTACGTGATGCAGAGGAAACCTCCAGCTACCAGCTGGCAGGAGAATTTAAACAAACCGCTTTAACCTGCTCATCAGCCAAATGAGCTCATTGGCTGGTTTTGTGCTGAATGCACCAACTACAGACAACAATCTACCAGCAAATGGCCGGTCAATCCCCACACTGACAGTTACACAGCAGTCCTGACTTCTCAGACCCAGTCCCACAGCCCTGACCAACACTGTCACTACAGGTACAGGAGGTGTGAAACATGATGATCACCTGTCAGAACAGCTTGTTTACAGCAGCTCAATGATAGCTGTACCTTGTGTATAAAATGGAGGAGCTACCTCCAGTCATTCAAACCAACCCAGCACTCTGATTACAGCCCGACCAATATGGGAAGTTCTGAGGCCGTCATCTGCTGATGTTCATTTCTTTGCACACAACAGAATGATGACACTTTTTTGAAACTTATCTTTGGGACTTCTCTACTTCAGTTTTTGTCATTTAAAAAGGACAACATATCGCAAGGTTATCACAAGGATAACAAAACATATTTTGCTTTCCTAAATGCCCCCCCCGCTTCAGATTTCCAAAAGAAATCCATTAACACAATCGTTTAGCAGGACAGTGGTGCTCCAACAGTTAAAATCAGGCATCTATTCTAGCTGTATGACGAGTTTCTGTCTGAATGATCAGTTGGTTCTTGACTCTTCTCCCCTCTAATCTACAGGTCAAAGGGCACCTGACCTTCTTGGTTTGAAATGAGCCTTTGGACTGCCGTTCGTCACTACTTGAACCAGTGCAACACCTGAAGTAAAACAGTGTGTTGTGCCGATCACTGAGGGGAAATTAAAACCAGCCAGGTGCTGATCTTGCTGGAGCCGTTCGGTGTGCGACAAGTAACCAACCAGCCTCAGATCCAGTAAAAGAAATATTTCAAGAAAATGGCTGAACTAGCGTTAAGAGTTTGGGAATCAAAACTACGCCACAGCGACCTGAAAATGAAACTGAAGTCTGCACTCACTACCTCTGTATGTAGACCTTTCTCACAGCCGACAGGTAGGAAAAGCACAGGTGTAGCTAATAACATTAATGTCTGTTCTGTTCAGCTGTCCCAGGTGAGCCAGCAAGCACAGTAACAGGACCTTGAAGCTAAAGTAGCGGAGTGGAATTCAGCCCTCATTAATCTTATTATTTACACTTGTGTTTTTCCTCCTGAGACATGTGAAAACATCCTCTGTGAAAAAAGGCTATTTAACAAATACTGTGGTGAAAACGGTCCGTGTGTCTTGACATGTGTCCTTAAATGTTCAAGAGGATTCCACGATCAACTTAACTTCCCAATTTACACCATAACATATGATTGTGTCACAGGAAATATGGCATATCGACAGTTTTACATTCACAGAAAATCACAGATTTGCCTCTGAATGAACACAAACATCTTAACTCATAGTTTGTTAAAAGTGAACAAGTCTATTTTTTTTATCAAAGAAAACTAACAAACAGGCAGCAAAGTACAAGCTGCAGCATCATCCACAGCTGGAATGAAGGAACACTGGCTGGTTGGCTGCCAAGTCGGCTAGTAGGACGTACAGTATAAAAGGTCAAAGCTGACAACTGTTGGTCTTTTCATGTAGACTGTAACCACCCCCCCCCCACCCCCCCTCCTCATCAATCTGTCCACGTCAGTGAAATGTACAGTTGTCATTTGGTGCTTGATAGTTTCAAATGCAGAACAGCATTACGTCAGCGATAATGAGAACCCAGGTGGCACAAAGAGAACAGATACTGAAAGAGACAAATCTCTCACTCCTCCATAAAACACCTCACATCACGCTTCTTTCCCCTTCAAAAGAGGTTCCCCCTCCAGTGTATCCTGACAAAACAGGGAGGGAAGTTTGTCCTCTACAAACCCGCCACAACTCACCACCCAACTTATGATCAGCTAATACATGTTTAAAACGGGATGTCTAAATGAAGACCCGTGACTGGGAGCAGAGACAAACTTGCCAGCCGTAGCCAAAACACTCACATGAATGCACGTGTTCAAGAGGTAGCTTGACAGCTCACGTTGTATTCCTGTTATTTCCAAAACCAAGAACTTGTCACCAAATGCAGAAGACAAACACTTTATGGTCATTTCACTGTATTCAGTTCAATATTCATGGAGGAATACTAGCAGAACAAAGGCACCAACTCCCATCCAGTGACATGGTCTTGGTGAGGGGAAAAAAAAAATACAAATCAGAGAGACTAGGTGTCAAAATACCTCTTTAAAAAAAGATCTACATTTTAAGTCAAGACACAAGTGGGAGCATCTTTTGAGGAAAGCACGCCTACCAGGGCAGGAAAACAAACTTCTTTTCCCCTCTGTCAGCTACATTGGCAGTCCACTCCCAATCATTTGGGGATTTTTCTAAATCACTTTCTCTGCCAAAGTGGCTGCTAGAGTCGACTAACTTAGACAACAGTTCACCAGCATGTCATTGATTTCCCGCCCTACACCTCCGCATTCCACCGCTTCCACCGCCGCCGCCTCCTCCACTCGCCTAGTCTTTTTTCTCCTCCTCTTTCTTCTCCTCCTCCTCCGTGGGGTATGAATGCCAGGTGAGGCGCTCCTCGTAGAAAGAGATGACCACCTGGGGACATTTGACGTTGGCCTCCTTGGCTGGGACGAGGTCGGCTTCATCCGAGTTCTTCCTGTTAATTTGGATTCAAGATGGGAAGAATAAAGGCGAGAGAAAGAGAGAAACAACATGGCAGAGAGAGGAGAGAGAGAGGGGGGGGGGAGAAGGAGAGAGCAAGGTGGAAAAACAATAGACAAAGTTGAAACGAGTAAGGCTCTTCTGATTGGCTGATTGTTTTCTGAGTGATCTAATAAAAATATAGCAGATTTCAGGTTAATACTCAGAGAAACCAAATCCTGCAAGGTTGGATGGTGGGTCCAGGTGGGCGGGGCTTGGGGCATGGCTGAGAGCGGTGACTGCTTTGTTGTGACATCACAAAGTTACGGGAAGTCCTGACGGCTGGTTTTAAGGCTCAGTTTCTGAATACAGGCTGTGTGCATTTCTCTGTGGACTGAGGCTTTGATACTTTCACAGTATTAATATAGAACCTAGACCTGATCTATAATCAAACAACACATGGACATCGATCTTTATACTATGAGACCTTTAATGAACAGTGCTTTTATTTTGAAATACTGTTTTCCTGGGTAGGGTTGCTACAAGGTGCAACTTCACAATGCAAATGACCTTTGCCCTGAACATTAGTCGACTGTAGTGGCCTCACCAGAGTCTCTGCTGCTTGTAGCAGAGACACCCCTGCAGTCTAATGCAATCCAATGTAACATTTCCTGACATGAAGTCTACAATTTTATATATTATATACTTTTCACACCGTTTTACAGATGTTAATTCAATGTACATATTTTACCACTGAGGTCATAGATAGTGGTATTGTTGTACTGGTGTTTCTAATAACGACCCCATATGTAAATGAGAGGGACAATAAAACACCTGGACTACGCAGACGTATCCAGAAGAATAAATATGATTTAATTGATACAGCTCTGATGATGTCACCAAAGACCGTACGTTATAGACTTTGTAAAGGTGGAATTTATGGCAGAGGTATTGTACTGAACTGCAACAGATTGTACACATGTACCCAATGAAATGGCTGCTGTGTGGAAACTTAGCTTGAAATAATCTTTTCTTCTGTTATGTTCAGCACAGCAGCTGTTTTACTGTTTGCTGTTGGAAGCTTAAATAAGCCTGAGCAATGTTTTAATGTGTTTTAAAGCTGTAATCACTGACTAGTTGATTGACTTGTTAGCACTCTTTTCACAACAAATCCTAAAATGGATTTAAAACAGAAACTATAACAAAACCCCTGTGTCTTTGTTGATGAAAGAAGAGGAGATTAATTTACATTTACTGTTTTTCAATCAGTGACAAATATCCTCCTCTCACTGGATGGCTGCTCTGCAGAGCTTCTCTTATGGTGACTTTCCATAGCAGCAGTGCATGCAAGAACACACCACTAACTGTGTTACCTCTATTGTAGCTAATGTTTGCACTACGGTTGGGCAATAATAAGGAATGTACTGTTCAACGGTAGAAATGTTTCCGCAGGTAGAGACCCGACAATACCACTTCCACTGCGCTACCTATCCCCTGGTGTTATATATACTGAGAGCAGGCAGTGATCTTGTGAGTCCAGCTGCCTCGCAAGGTAACATGATTGTGATGTTCTCAGGTGACATGAGAGTGACAGTCGGTTGTGACAGTTGGTTGCGGTAATGCACCTCCGAGCTGGTCTGCCAACCGCTGTAGAAGACTAGAGTGACCCGGTGGGTTGGGACGGGCTGGCTGGTGTGCGACGGGGTGGGTAAACAATCATTTTATAAATAGATCATGTGGGCTGTTCGGTTTTTTAAATACTCTGAAGACTACTGCGAGTATGTTCGTGACTTTCATTCAACATCACCTTCACGCGACAGCCTTTAGGAGGAGGCACCTGGTTCGGCGGCTCAATGTAAAAAAAAATAAAAATAAAAAAATAATCCAGAGAGGGGGAGAAGGATGGATCACGCTGTGTGGTGATCAGGCCAGTCGATCTAACTGCGCTGCACACTGTGGTTGTAAGCGGTGAGACCAGTAGGGAATCACTGCTCCACAAGCTCTAAAAGCTGTTAAATCATTTGCACCTACACTGTAACGTAGTCTGTTATTGCACCAACATTATCTCTCTGTGCTCATTCTTTAATCAAAATGTGTACAGTCGGTTTGTCAGTTATTTATGTGTACAGTTATTTATTTGCAGCAATGTTAGTCTCCCATATTGTGAATTTTCTTTTTGTCTTTCTTAATGTGTAGTTTGTCTTGCATTGGCTGTCTTCTTTTGTGTATTTTGAACCTGTTTTAATATAATAATAATGATGATGATGATAAAATAATCTTTATTAATGAGCACTTTTCAAAAACTATGTTACAAAGTGCTTGACAAAGACAGCAAAAATAAAAAAAATAGAATGAACAAAATCAATAAATTTCAAAGAGAAGAATGTCTAAGAACTGCCCCCTGGGGACAAATAATGTTTCTTGAATTGAATTTGTCCTCAAGACCAATGTGTCAGGATATAAACCTTGTACATCTACATTTTTTAAAAAGTTTGTATTCTATGGTGGGTTTCAAAAAAGTGATTTTGCACTTTGAGATTTTTGAGATGGGATGACCTTTCACCTACATTTGATTTGTTTCAGTATTACCTGGCTGATGCACATCCACGTCTGACTCAATTGTAAGCCATGTATAGATGGGGGTGTGTCGTACATAGCTTTGCACATGAGCTTCCCCTCATTACTGCCTGGCTAAATATAGGCTCCGACAGATACTTCTCATTTCCAGAGACCAGACGGGTGTAAATTATGTCCATTAACATATATGCATTTTGCGCTGTTTGTTACGCATATTGCCGAACTCTGAAACCCCCCCCCCCCCCAGAGCAAGAGTAACTCAATCCCAAAGCAATCTGACTGGACCTTTATACATTGAGAGTGAGGACCCACCACTTCATGAGGAACATCAGCTCTCCACTGGAGTCCGTCGCTCCAATAATCCTCTCCGGCTGCAGACCTCTACCAAAACCTCTGGCCTTCTCACCCTGGAGAATGGAAGTAGAAGAACAGGAGAATAAATGACTAAAAAAAAGAAATAGAAACAGACTGACGGGATATCATGTTTCTACGCTCAACATTAAAGCGCTTGTGTGTAGATGTTGTGTAAGTGGTGGTCTGTGGACTGGCTGGCTGCTGGGATTCTTTAGTCTGAAGCAATCCCTCTCATTTGTTCACCTCCTCCTTCTTCTTCTTGCTCCCTCGCTCTTCAGAGTCTCCGGAGGCCTCGCTGGCAGCTTTCCTCTTGGTCTCCTTCTTTTTCTCCTCCTTCTCTTTGTGTTTCTGCATATACTCTGCAATGAGGTCAGGGCAGTCCAGGTTCTCCTCTGGCTCCCATGTATTATCCTCACTGGAACATAAACCTTGGATGTTTCAGTTAAACAAAAAAATACCAACCAGGTTTGGGATCACACCCTAATGAGTAAAAGTGAACATTACAGACTTGTACTCACTCCGAGAACCCCTTCCATTTCAACAGAAACTCCACTTTGCCCTTCACCACTCTGCGGTCCAAAACCTTCTCGACCACATACTCCTCCTCTTCCTCCTCCTCCGCTGCTGCTCCTGCTCCTGCTGCTGCTGCTGGTGGTGTTGCTGTTGCTGCCGCTGCTCCTGCTCCTGCTGCTGCTGCTGCTGCTGGTGGTGCTGCTGCTGGAGGTGCTGGTGCTGGTGCTGCTGCTGCTGCTGCTGCTGCTGGTGCTGCTGCTGGAGGGGCTGCAGGCTGCTCCTCCTCCTCAGCCTTCTTGCCTTTCTTTCCTGCTACGGTCGCCAGCTTGACGTCTGCTAAGGGCGCCTCTGGCGGGCCGAGAGGAAACATGCAGAGATGATGATAAAATGGTTAGAATAACTAGGTGTGTTTGAAAAATGGATGGACTGTTGCAAGAAAAGTAGGGCTGTCGACAAATAATCGAAAATCTTATAAATCCTTTTTCTCATTTCAAGGATAATAAGGGCGGTAATAGGCTGTGATAAGTAATAACTTAAATAAATGAGAACTTTTTGAAAATTCATCTTAAGATAAAGTGCTTAATTTGAGAAAAAGTAGCTTAAATTTCCAACAATTTTTGTAACAAACACTAACTCCCCCTTTTCTCTTTCCTTCCCTCTTATATCTCACTCTCCAACTTTCCCCAATTAATGTCTCACTCATATGTGTGTATCTCACTCACTGACTCAAGTCACGATGATCGGCTGAGTGACATCACATAAGATGATTCACAACACGTGCAATTGGTCTGTGAGTTCCCCTGGTCGCTAAACCAGTGACCAAAGCTGTGTCAGGTAAAATAGAAATGCTGTCAAGATCTACAGGCTATAGGTCCAGGCCCGGAGAGAACGGCGTCTGGGTTCAGACCCAGACTGTAGGCCACCTGTTAGTGAGTTACGCTACTTTGCACGTGTGGCCCCCGGCCCACTCGGGGTTGGACCCCTTATAATGTCTACAAAAACTGTTCCAGGCTGTTCCTCGGTGCTCGGTGCCACAATAATAAAACTGAATACAAATAAAGTAACAACTCTAAATCAGGTTTGGCTCTCTGATCAAAGCATGTTTTAAGAAGGAATATAAAAGATGTCACTGATTCGGCGAGCCTCGCGTTCAGGCGGGTCCTTCTTGGTCAGTCTTATGGCCCTGACTGCAAACGCTCTGTCCCCTTTAGCTTTCAGCCTTGGAGAAAAGCCGTGCAGACCCGTAACAGCTATCAGTAACATAATAAAAACTATCCTAAAAAAAAATACTGGGAGTCAGTTTAAAGAAGCTAAAACGGGAGTGATGTGGTCCTGCCTCTTGGGTGTGACAGCTGAGTTCTGTTCAGTCTGGGGTCGATCAGTAGATTCTCGGTGTAGTCAAGTAAAAAGGTTGTTGCAGTAAACAAGGTGTAAAGAAATAAAATCACAGATCTGCCTCTTTGGGGAAAATATTTTGAGTACTACAACAGTGAATTGCTTAGTTCACATGTTTCCACACCACCATATTATCAAGTTATTCAACTTTTACCTTTTACCTATGTTCACCTCAAGTTTTGGAACTTTGACTGTGTTTTGTTATATCACTTGTACCGCACTGTTATTATCATATACAGTGGAAGTCAAAAGTGTCAGAGCACCTGCTTAAAACCTTTTCTTTTCATTAATATTTTATTGTATGATGTGTGCTCATACAAACTAATAAAAATAGGCAAATTTCATTCAATTATTGAACAAAATAATAATGTATTTTGTATAGTGTAACATGTTTTAATTTTCGATTACATCTGAGTGTTATCTGCATAACAATGAAAAGAAACACCATAACTATGAATGATGTATCCCAGAGGTAGCATGTATGACCTAGAGCCGACCTCTGAGGAACACTGTACTTTGAGTGTTCAAATGAAGAGACTCAGCACATCCTCTTTGAAAGATAAGAGGCACAACTACTTTGAAACTTCAACCAGTGTGTCCCCTGTTTCACTAACATTTACTAAAAACTACAGTGACCAGGTGTTTTAGGAAACTACTGGGCCTTCTTCAGTCTTCAGCTGAACCACTGGTCTTGGAGATGAGAGCCACAGACAGCGTGGAGAAGTCAAAGTTTTGAAGAGAAGGACAAACATATGTGTTGTTTTCATGCAATTTTCAGACAATATAACACCAGCCTTACACCCACTGTTTCAATGCTATTACTGAATACACACAACTTTGAGTTGAGCTGAACTGCACACGTGGTTGTTATGGTTGTGTTTTAGTGCCAAAGCAGTGGCAGTTATTTACTTTGTTTCTATGAACAGGGAAGGGGCTGCTGAGGAGTAACACTGTAAAATCTGTACAACTGTGTGTGCAGATTGTTTAATAACATTTTATTATATTTGACATGAACTCAAATATTGATTTTTTTTTTTAATCATTAAAACATGCGTGCGGGCATTCTAAATGGTTTCCTCCGCTAATTTGACACACCAGAGTCACTACTTCATGACTCCTCGTGGTGGAAAGATGGTTAACTTATGGTGAAGAAGAAGAAACTCACAGAGGGAATATGGCAGACAATGGGGTGAAAAAGAATCAGAGAGGTGCTGTCATCTTTCAAGTCAGAAGTCTTCAGCTTTTACAGTCATGGGACAAACAAAATCGATAAAGACTATGTGCCATTAACACTCCACACACACACACGGTTTACATTAAAGTTGATTATGCTTATTAAACACTATAATGTTCTTTTTGAGAGAGAAATATGCATTTTTTGTATTATTTTACTTTAAACACTTTAAGAACTTAACTCCAGAATTGTTCCGCTTTCTGGCCTTTTTCCAGTTTACGGCTTTTACATTGGGGTGATGGCACATGTGGATAAGTGGCAGTCAGTCAGTCAGTCTGTGTGTGTTTATTACTGAGGCACTAAGCCTAAGACTGTGCACTTTGTTGTACATTGTTTAATCTCAGTTGATGTATTCTGTGAAACTGACACCACAATGCAGTGAATTAATACATGATTCCTGCTTTTTGCCTTTTTAGGGTGATTCTTCTTCTGCAACATATCATTATGTAATACATATCGTAGATGATTGTCTTGCGATGTATCAAGTATTGAAGAATCGCTGTATTGTGATACCAACATTATTATCTTAATACTGTATCTAGAGTTACTTTGATTCTCCCCTGACCCAAAAGTCAAAATAAAATATTTTCAAACATTCGATTTCTTGTGGATTTGACTACATTAACGGGTGGGCAACTTTTTAAACCAGCCCTGGTCTGCTCTGCACTTTCGGAGAGCTTAAGTAGTGCCACATGTATCACTTCTCCAACGGAGCAGAACAAGAATCACCGTCACCAGCTGCAGTTCATGGGACTGGATGAGCCGGGGCAGCAAGTGAACTTTCAAATTAAAACACTTACAGCCCCTCATAAATAAATAAATAAATAAATAAATAAAACAGGGCTGTTACATGAACTCAAGATAAACTAAGCAAAAAATTTGATTTTTAACACAATTTGTAAACAGAGGACAATTATGTAGGCAACCAATAGCAGCAAGCACACAAGCATCTGAAAGAAGCATTAAAGCGACGGAAAGAGAGGAATCACAACTTCCAGTGAGTTTTCACAATAAAATCAGAGCAGGTAGCGGGGCGATTCTACCTAAAGGGATATATACATGATCTTTTGGCCAGATCCCCCAGCCCTACATCCAATTTCCCATGTCACTTGAACTTAACCTCTGGGCTTACTTGCAACCCATGCAAACACCTTAATCAAACTGTTGTTTTAATCTTGGTATGTAATCTAGTTATCTGTGCACATTAACGGGGTGACTTTACTGCAACAGCTACAACTGAAGTGCTTCCACCACAGAGGACCGTGGTTACCACCGGGTTGGTAGGGCAACTAACAACCTTTATGTATCTTAGCATCTGTGAAAAGACCGTGTCCGCGTGGGGAGCTTTAACAAGTTAATCTTGAGATCCAGTGGTGCATTTCATTGGCTTAAACAACGAGCGCGGTTACCCTGCTAACAAAGAGTCTAACTAATGGACACGAGTCATCTTAAAGCCCATCCAGCTTCAAGCCACTGCCTGAGTCGAGGCGGTAAAACCGCGCCGGCTAAACATGCTTAATTTAATGAGTTGAACCAATAACATACCACTAGTTTCCCGTGTTCATTCATTGACACTAACTCATAACTATAGCAATCTGGATTTTATTTTTCATTTAGATGTTGCCCAGGTTGATATAACTCATGTTTGATGGTTTGGTATGTAGGAAGTAATACGCCCCCCTTCCATGTCTGCTATATGTGAGCGTAATTTACAGACAGCAACCACCGACAAACGCACACTGCGGCAGCCGCAATTTTACACACACGTATGCACGGTGTAAAATCACAACTCCAGCATTAAAGCGCTGCTTTGTTTGAACCGCAAAAAAGCAAGCAAAAGCTGTATGTCCCGTGCACCGTTTCATAAGAGGAGCGTCAAATCCAGCGTGCTGCACATTGTTTTTACATCATGCCCGCGCACGCTGTAGCCTTACGCGCTGAATGCCAAAATAAACTCGGACTATTTCGTTTTGCCGGATTCGGCTGCATATTATAAATCACCAAACACCAGAGCAAGGAGGCGAGTCAGGCGGCCTGCTCCTGCAAGCGGAGGGCAACATGACTGGCATGTTTTCTCCCACCAGCAGCAGCAGAAGCGGCTAGCAGTGAGCTCTTACCTCTGCACTGAATGCTTCGGATCGGTTGTATGGGCTCGCTGCAGGCCCGAGTGCAGAAACGGACAGGATCTGCTGTTGTACAGGCCGAAGACGCGCCAGCTGCAACGCAGAACTACTCCGTGGCCTAGTGGCGCTCTTTGGATGACTTTTCCTCAATGTGCTTTGCTGCTGAATCACACAAAAGCCTCGGCGTCGCTAACAACCAGCACCAATCCAGTTCTGCCCGCCAACAGCACCACCGGACGTGACGTCAGTGGACGGAGTGGTGACGGCATTG